AACTTGAGTCCAAATGGATCAAAGACCTCAACATCAATCCAGCCACACTGAACCTCTTAGAAGAGAAATTAGGAGGTACCCTTGAACAAATTGTCATAGGAGACCGCTTCCTGAGCATAACTCCAGGGGCACAGACACTGAGATCAACAATTAATAAATGGGACCTCTTCAAACTTAGAAGCGTCTGTAAGGCAAAGGACACAGTGGACAAGACCAAACGGCAGCCCACAGACTGGGAAAAGATTTTCACCAATGCTATATCCGACAAAGGGCTGATCTCCAAAATATACAAAGAACTAAAGAAACTAGTCAACAAAACACCAAATAACCCTATTAAAAAATGGAGAGATAAGTAGGAGAAAATGAGGGGGAGGAAAGGAAAACATGTGCGACCAGGAAGATTGAGCCTGGTTAGGAATAGAAGACAGAGAGAGAGAGAGAGAGAGAGAGAGAGAGAGAGAGAGAGAGAGAGAGAGAGAGAGAGAGAGAGAGAGAGAGAGAGAACATAAAAGAGGGAGCCAATATTGGTTTGAAGATAAAATTGAACACAAAGAAAGGTCTAGAGAACTACAAGACTGCTCCCAACTAACAATTTGTGTTTCTGTGGAAAGGCTATCATAGATGCCCTTCCCGGAGAGTGACATCAACAACTAACTTATCCATGGAGCCATCAACTAATGCCTGTTGGAAACAGGATCAAACACCCATACATAAACACTGAGTCGAACTAGAACCCAGATGCAGATGGAGAGGACAAGACCAGGCGGCAGAAACACATACAGACAGCTTACCTTTACAAGGAGGAGCTAAAGGCCACTAGACTGATAGCTGGGAAGCCAGCATGGGACTGACTCAGGCCCCCCTCCCCTGAATATGGGTCTCAGCCAGAAGGACTGAGCAATCTAAGGGACCTCAGACAGTGGAGCCAGGATGTATCCCTGGAGCACAAAAGGACTTTGTGAACACATCCCCCATGGAGGGATAACTACCTGAATCTAGAGACAGGAGAGAAGCCCTAGTCCCTACTTCACATGACCTGTCAGACCTACATGACCCCTACTGGATGACATTCCCCTACATATGGAATTGGGGTGGGGGGATGGATGGGAGGGGAGGGTGGTTAGAGTGCATGTGAGAGGGCAGAGAGGGTAAAAGGGAGGGAAGGAGGGAAGGAGGAAGGGAGGTTAGGAGGGAGAGGGAACTGCGATCGACATGTAAAATAATAAATTAAATTTTAAAAAATGCTTTGACTCCAAAATTTAAGTTCAAGGACAAGTTACTGGGGAAAAGGATTTCTATTTTTGTTTCTACAGATAATGAAAAGATGTGGATTCCTTCAAGAATAATGTGGTTTGATCAAGCCAGACCACCTGAAACAGAGTACCAGGCGATCCTACATTCAAAACAGCTGGACAAAGCAGCCTTACAGACTACAGCCAGGATTTCTGCATCTTCTTAGAATCCCCCATGACAGTGCCCCTTACCAGCAGGAAGTAGTTTGGAAAGAACCACGCCCAAATTCTCAAATATTGTCTATAAATGTTTGTTTTCATTTAAATGGACTTGGTTATATAAAATTTAAAAAAAAAGTGGGAAAAAAGAAACCTAGATGCCCTTCAATTGAAGAATGGATAAAGAAAATGATGTACATTTATGCAATGGGGTACTACTTGGTGGTAAGAAACAACACCATCCTAAAATTTTCAGGCAAATTGACTGATGGGGAAATGCCCTTTTGTATATATGTTTATGTTATTTTTAGATGAATAAAACACTGTTTGACCAATAGAGGCAGGAAGATAGGCAGGACTGGGAGACGAGGAGAATGCTTGGGAGAGAGGCAGAGAGGTGCCTCTAGGAGAAGCCATGTAGCTGCCAAAGGAGTAACAACAGGTCTGGACATTCTCTTGTAAGCCAAGACCACATGGAGATAAATAGATTTATAGAAATGGGTTAATAATTAAGACAGAGCTAGCCAATAAGAAGCCCTTGCCATCGGCAAACAGTTTTATAATTAATATAGCACCGCATCCATGTGTTTCTTTGGAACTAACCAGCAGGAGGGAAAAAGAAGCATCCACAACAATGGACAGAATTAGAAAACACCATCCTGCGTGAGGTAACCCTGGCCCAGAAAGACAAATATAGTATGCATTCACTCATAAGTGAATGCTAGAAATAAAGCAAAAGATACCCAGTCTACAATCCACAACCCCAGAGAAGCTAGAACCTCTTCCGGAAACAGATGGAAGCAGATGCAGAAATTTGTAACTAACCAATGGTCCAAGCTCCTGAAGTACAATCAAAGTGAGGGAGGAGAGATAATATGAACAAAGGAGTCAAGAGCATGATGGGGAAACCCCCAGAATCAGCTGACCTGAGCTAGTGAGAGATCCCTGACTCTGGTCTGACAAATGGGGAACCTGCATAAGACTGAACTGGACTCCCTTAATACAGGTGATAATGGTGTGACTGGGACAATATATGAGGCCCTGGCAGTGGGCCCAAGATCTAACTCTAATGTACAAACTGACTTAGTGGAGCCCATTCTATATGGAGAGATACCTTGCTCAGACTACACGCAGGGGTGTGGGGATGGAGAGGTGCCTTGGCCCTGCCTCAATGAGTTGATGGGACAGACTTAGTAGATGTCCTAGGGGGAAGTCTTATCCTCTCCAGCATCAGATGGTAGGAGGGGGCAGTGGAGAGAAGTGGGAGGAGAGGAGGGAGGGGGAATTGGGTTTGGAATGTAAAAAATAAATTAATAAGAAAATGTTTCTAAAAGTGTTATACAAACTCAGCCCAGCATACTGGTGCATACTTTCAACCCCTGCACTCTGGAAGCAGAGGTAGTGAGTTCAAGGTCAGCCTGGTGTTTGGAGCAAGTTCCAGGTCAGCTACCAGGGCTTCATTGTTTCAATCTTTCCAGCCTAGACCAAATGAAAGTAACACACATGCACATGCACACACATGCATACATGCTCACCTCCAAATAATCAAAGGTCTAGACATCACCATGGGTTCATTGCCACCCACCTCAGCATAGTTTTCACTGCTTTTAGTTCTTCAGCCTCTGTCCACAGGACATGAACCATTCTGTCTCTCTTTCTCTCCCATACCACACCATGCATTTGCTCATCATAATAGTGACCAACTGCCAGGTTGGACCCTACCCCAGGCCTGTGTGTGAGTCTCCTTATCCTGCTCAGTTTGTTTTGGTGCAGGGCAGGACCATGCTTCTTCATCACAAAGGGATCACAATATTGCCCAACTCCCTGCTCCTGGTTGGTGTGGAGGTGTTGCTGGAGGCTAGAAATCCCAGGCTGTATTTGGTTGAGTCCCACCTTCTCCAATCACTTAGCGTGGGGTGGAGTTGTTGCTCAGGGTTTTAATTTTCTACATCCATACTATCAAAATTTATTGTTTTTATTATGCCATTATAAAGTGACTTTTAATTGTGAGTTTTTAAAAATTCCTTTTAATCAATATATAAAATCATATATATTAGTGGGATGCCATGCAACATTTGATATGTATATTCTATAAAATTTAAAATAGGTTAAACATATGTTTCTCCTAAAATGTTTGCTATTTATGATGAATATTTTCAAAAGTTTCTTCTAGGTTTTGAGATATATGGTGCATTTTCTTGTTATGTAACATACTGGCTTTATGTGTATGAAAGTTTTGGCTGCATGAATGTATGTGTGCCACATACATGTCTGGTGCCTGAAGAGCTCAGAAGAATGCATTAGATCCCAATGGAATATGCTGAACAATGGCTGGTTGTAGTTCAATGGCATATTTGGTATTCAGGCAAAGTTACACATTTACTAGTTCAGGACTTTTCAGTTTTCTGTTATTCAGACTCAGTTTTTCTACTTTCACAATATCAAGATAAGTCTGTGTGGGCAGGTTTATTGCTTTTCCCTTTCCCCATCATGAATAGGGTGACTTCTGAATACATCAATCAAACAAAGGTAACTGGCAAAGTGCATCAAGAAGGATCTGTTCAGAGGAAGCAGCTAGGAGAGGTATGGATGGGAGAAACCAATGTAGGTGAGCAAAATTGTAAGAAAGACCCAAATACATCAAGGGTAATGATCTAGAAATATCTTTAATGCCATAACCATTATAGTTTCTTCTTTTTAAAATTTCTTTTTTTTTTTTTACATGAGATATCAGTGGGAAAAGGAGAAAGAATTTGAAAAAGGAAACAATTACAACACATTACCAGCCCCATAAAAATCTCTTTATCCCCACGGATCTGATCTTCCTCCATTCTTATTGTGGGGTACACTATACTGAACAATTATCTTTCATTCATTCAGATAGTATCAGCTAAGACCCAGATGTAGACATCAGGACCAGAGAAACCAGAAACCAAATTAATACCAAAAGGGGCTAAGAATCATCTGTCTTACATTGAAAGAATTTTCCATAAGAGAAATAAAGACTCTTCATGGTAAACTAAATCAGGGCAACTGTCTGACAAAATGTTTAAGAAGTGATCCAAAGAATGTCTATCCTTAAGTGCTGAAAATAGTAAGAAGGAACTATCTTGAATCAACAAACTCTCACCCCAAGAACTAAAAAGAATGTGCCTAGCAGAAATGCTAAATAGTTAGTCACACCCTCTGAGTGCCCGCACTAAGAGCCAAACTATGAATTTTCCAGAGACTTTTCTATTGGTTGACCAGTGTGTGAGTGGGTGAGACTAAAATTCCCTTCTCAGCGTCTCTCATTGTCTACAGTGACGTAAACAAACCATTGAGTCTCATTGGCTGGGCAGTGAAAAGTAGTGGCCTAGAGTGGTCTCCCTGGAGAAGACCAAAACGGAAACCTGGAAGCGCTGAGGAGGTAACCTGTCCTAGTATCTCCTCAGTTTGGATGGTTAGCCATTCACTACCATCTCAGAAAGGCCTAGGAAGAGAACCTGGGACTCAGGAGATCTCAAGTTTCATTAGAAACTCTCCGTGTTGCCTAGACCTGTGGTAACTATGCAGAACATTGTGCGCCATATATTAACTTTCTTTCGGAAGAGGACCGAATCTGAAGGAAAGCTCCAGATTCAAGGTAATCCTTTGGCTCTGGGAGTCAATTCCATGTCCCCCACTCAAGGAGACTCCTCAGAAAGGGTACCCTCCACCATGAGGTGTAGTGGGGCACGAATACTGGAGAGGGGCCTGCCGCCATCCTGAGCATCAGAGTGTCCCTGAGGTCCCAAGAGTTAGCACAGCACTGAACTGTGCCTCAGGCCTCCTTGGTGGATCGAAGCAGAAGGGGCTTTGGACCAACTCAAAGAACACGTGACACAAGTCTTTGTGGGCTGAACTGTCTCTGCCTTCCGCTTGTAAGACACCTTTGTGTGTCCCCCAGAGAAGGGGACTATCCCATTGGAGAGTGAATTTGGCCTTGTCCCCCCCCCCCACACACGATGTATCTGAAGCCAGGAGGCAGAGTGAGTCATAAGGAGGGTACCATAGAGAAAGGTGGCAGGTTGTCCCAGCAGTATACTGGAGCCACATCCCAAAACATTTCTTACCCTTTCTGCTTATGGAGACTAAAAGACAATTTTGGAAACATGCCCTTACATCTGCACATGTCGTTCAACGCTCTGTCCGAATGTAGAACCACGGCTATGCGTTTGCTACTGACGACTAGGCAGGCACACACTAGTAATAATGGGAATTAAGGAGGCTTCCTGAGCAGGTAAGATGAACACAGCCCTAGAACTCTTACTGGGACAGGTCTCCTACAGCTGCCATGCAGACATCCTTACAACCTTAGGGTGCAGAAATAGTTATTTTGGTCAGAGAAGTGATGATATGCGCTCACATCTACACAGGTGGTCAGAGTAGGACTTCTGTGCAGTGACTCTTTGCTTTTGACAGGAACCAGTGTGACCTTTGTTTCCCTGTGTCATAGATAACTCCAAGTTGAAGTCTGTCCAGGGAATTGTGACCCGTCTCTGTACCGACTATGGCTGGATTAATGAGTCTATCTTTTTCAATACTGATGTGGTGTATGGAAATGTTCCTGTGAATGTTGGAATGAGTGTCATTGCTCTCGTGGAAGAAGATCAAACAACTCATGCACTGAAAACCATCAAAGTAAGACTGAGTTTGCTCAGATTCTCTTATAGTAATGGGATTTTGATATTTCCTCTTTGATCAAGACAAGCATCATTGTGGATATAGGGTCAACGTTGACATTCTCCCTTACGTTTAGCAGATTTGATGTTCTAATATTCAATTGCAGTGATGTTTTTCTGGTCCTAAAGCTTTTGTGTCTGTTCCCCTAGTATTTGAACAACATAGAGAACAATGTTCTCTCTATGCAGCTCAATCGAAACCCTGAAACTTTTATCTCTTAATGAAAAACTACTTTCTATCCTATGCATTCAAACTAGTAGAATTAACATGAAAAACCCTTTTATATAGCAATTAAAATATATTCAACACACAACAAATCCTAGGTTAATCCTTTGCATATACAAATTCCTGCCTGAAATTGTTATTTTTAGCTCCAACCACTGTCTCCACATCTTATAGGTGAAAGCTATGTCTGATCCTATTTATGGTATTGAACCATCAGAATTTGACAAACGACTTTGCATTAAGTGTGTGACTTATGCAACACAGGACAACATCTATATCAGCAAGGGAACTTTTTTCCCCATGAAACTTCTTTCTGGAGGTATGGTTTACATTTTATTTGGTTCTTTAACAATTTTATACAGTTAACTTTGACCATATTCATATCCTTCTCCAAATCCACCCATATTCCCTATCCACCCAATTTTGTGTCCTTTTTTAATTTACTGATCACTTCCAATTTGTGCTGCATATATATTCATGGATGTGTGGCTTTCCACTGGAGTATGGTGGACCTCCCAGTAGCAACACTCTTAAAAAGCACTGACTCACTGTCTTGGCAAATTGTTATGTCAGCTTGATACAGACTAGAGTCATTTGGAAAGAGAAAATATCAGTTGAGAAAATGCACCCTTGCAGACATGGTGGTATATGCCTTTAGTCCCAACACTTTTTAAAAATTTCTCTCAAAAAACACACAAAAAGTCTATTATCTTAGCACTCAGAAGCTTGAAGCTAGGGTTTCATGAGTTCAAAGACAAACCTTGGATACCTAGTGAGCTTTAAAACACCCTGAAGAAACCTAGCTGAAAAACCCAAAATTCTAAAAAGAAAAACTAAAGAAATCTGTTTACAAATTAAAAAAATCATACACATTAGTGATTGCATCCACATTGTAAATGATATCAGTAAAGTTTTAAACAACATGTTCTATTTCTGCTTTATTGTACGTGGTTTCCAATTTCAAGGACACTTCTCAAATTCTCAAGATAGTATAACCCAAGATCAATATGCTATAACTATCTCTTTTTTGTTCAATGCCTTTCAAAAGGAAGCTTCACTCAAGCTCAACCTGGACCCAGCATCTAGTGGGGAAGTGAATAACAGGTTCACTACTAGCAAAGGAAATATTAGTGATCAATAGCTTCTGGGAGCGAAAGAGTGTCTTAATTAGGGTTCAAGGTGCTATGATGAACATTATGACCAAAAACAACCTGGGGAGGTAACAGTTTATTTCACTGTGAAGATTGTTCTCCACAATCAAGATAGAAGTGCCAGTTTTTAAAGGAGTATAAACTTCCCTTATTGTAGGGACATATTCAAAGTCTCTGTGATGGATTTTGTTTTGTTTTTCTTTTGTCTTGATTTTTTGAGACACGGTTTCACTATGTAGTATTGGCAATCCTGGAACTCTCTCTGCAGATCTATCTGCCTCTGCATCTGGAGTATTGACATTAAAGGCATGAGTCACAATATCTTTCCAAAAGGTATCAAAGGATTTGGAAAAGTTACTTTACATCCAGGAAATGTTGGTCAGCATATTACAGTGGCAAACGACCTTGATAATGTGACATGACCTAATTGCAATAATATTTACATTTCTAATTTTCTTGGATGTTTTAGGATTTTTGCCTTTTAAAGGAGATTTGTTGCTGGTTGAGTATTCCTTGAAGCCAGGTACTTCAAACATCACTATCCACTCCTTGAGCCTCCTCAACACACAGACTATAGATGAGGTAATATGCTTCCATGTTGCCCTTGCCATGGGTACACAGCTGCCTATCCTTCCTTCCTGATCACTGTTTTAGCCCAGGACTTTGGTATGTTTGGCAGTATGTCCCCTGCCAATGTGGACACATTCAGTGATTGAAAAGGAACTAAACAGAAAATAATATAGACTATACACATACTTTATTCCTAGGTTGTGTGCTCTACTTGACGTTAGGATGTTCTGTGGATGGCAGTTACAAAGTATCTTGGCTATGGGGGCAATGGTGGGGAAACTTTGAGTGTCCTGGGTTGAGGTGTTCAGCCTGCTGATAAGGGGTGGGGGGAATAAGACCCTGGTTAGTACAGCCTGAGAATGAGATGTAGTCAGGGAGGTAGAGTGTTTGGCCACATTGGGTAGCATGAAGGGCACATCCTCTCATCAGATACGCAGGGCTCATCCTGTTTCTCTGCTTTAGTAGGAGAGGGTGACATGCTGGCTCAGATGTGTTCACACACTTCCCTGTGTGTCAAGGATGAGAACCAGTGATGGGGCTTGGGACCTGATGATTAGAGACAAGGGGTTGTTAAGGGTAGCTGTGGTGAGTTACTCTTTCTCATACCCATTGCCGTCCTTTCCCTTCGTAGGTCTGTGTGACCAGCCTTGACGGAAGAACTGGCGTGGTGGAAACCAGCATCTTTTTCACATTGGATTCCCTCCAGAAGCCTAAAGGTTATATACCAGAGCTCTATGACATCGTGAATGTGGTTGCTGTGGACAGCATTCAGCCACACTGTTCTCGGAGAGCAGTATCAATGTTCCCAGCAGAAATGTGTATTGGCCAAGCCTTATAATTCATTTTCAACATTATTTCTAAGGCTCTGGTTTAATAAAATAATATGAGCATGTAATCCAAAGATATACAATCTATGACTCTTCTTTTGAACATCCGGATTAGCAACACGAACTCTGTTAATTCAAAAACATGTCCTATTGGAATATGATTTTAGCAAAGAAACAGCCTCGCCTTCAAGGTGAATGCATTATTTTTTTTTCATTAGCATGATTAGATTCTATGCTGCCAGTGGCCTTGTGGGCCATTAAGCAGCATGGAGAAGCAAAGCATTTAACTCAAGATTCTCTGAGTGAGCAGTCAAATGTGACCACGTATGACTTTGCATTGCGGCTTGTCTTGTAGTCTGAGTCACTTTATGCCTTTCTGATGTTTATTTCTCTTTCATTTCCTTCCAGCTTCTCCATTTGTTAAACTTAGTGTTCATCTATGGATCCTTCTTTGATATCACTTCACCTCCATAATAATAGGGTGTTAAGTGAGTCATCTTTCATCTCCCAGTACTTATAATTGTTCTAAGTTGATCCTAGGGGCAAACTGAAAGTACAGACTAGTAAATAATTCACTGGGCTGTAGTAGTGGTTTGCTATAGTTTTAAATGCTATGACTTAAATTTTTCCACATCCTATTAAGAACTCTTTTAAATAAAACATTACCATTACATTAACATTACATAGATCACATTGCTGACCCAAGGGAGAAGTGTCTAGATAATGTACATTTAAATGCATCTTAAGGCCAGTGACAGCAATGCAGTATGATTGCAAAATTGTGGTATGTTTATCCCAGTCATATTATCTATGATTTGATCAGAAATTCGTGTCCTTAAGTAACAGAGTCTTCCACATATAACCCTGGCTTTAATTTACCATCACAGTTCTCACAATCTTTACTTCCCTGAAATTTCTCTGGATCACCAGATAACTATGTCATTCCAACTGTAACGGAAACAACTCGAAAATACTATTATTATTTTTTTTGTTATGTTGAGACAGGACTTTACTGTATATCCACCTTGGCTGTCCTGGAACTAGCTCTGTACAGTAGACAGGCCTTGAACTCAAAGAGATCCACCTCCCTCTGACCCTTGAGTGCTGGGATTAAAGGTGTGCAGCACCATTGCCCTCTTAAGATATTATTATTCATTTTTGTTTTATGTACATTGATGTATTGCCTACATGTATGTGTGAAGGTATCAGATCCCCTGAACTGTAGCTTACAGATAGCTATAGCTGTGATTTGCCATATGTGTGTGTGCTGGGAATTGAACATGGGACCTCTTTAAGGTCAGTCTGTACTCTTAATCCCTGAACAACCTCTTCAGCTTCAAGATATTATTTTAAATATATTTTTATTGATTGTTTGGGAAGTACACATCATGCACTCCAATCCCAGTCATTTCCCAGTCCTTCCATATTCACTCTTCACCTTTGTAGTGTTTCCCACAGAGGAAACCTAAAAAAGAAAATAAGATAAAGAACAAAACAAAATAAAAAGCAAAAACAAAGACAAAAACAAAACCCCTTCATCTTTCCTGCCTCTCCCATCTCTTTTTCATTCTTCTTAGCATCATTGGGAGCTGCTTGGATTGTACAGTATACCCCTTTGCCCAAACAGCTTTGCACGCAAATATTCATTGTGTAATTTGTTGTTCGTCAAGTTCAAGACTTCTGCATTCTAGTACATCAACAATACTGGACCTTCACTGACAATCCTTGGATAGCCTGCTTTTAACCCAAGTCATGGAGATACCCTAGCCATGGTTCTTCAGGACCAGTCCCTTCAAGTGCTCTGGGAGATCATAAATGCAGTAGATGTTGGGGGTGCCAATTGAAAACTCTGAATGTGTACCTGGGGGTAGCTGACCAGGCCTTTCAGGAGCAGAGCCAGCTTTCCCACAATGATGTTGAGGGGTGGGGCCAGCCTTCCCAAGTGTGGGGGTGGGGCAGCTCTCCTATTAGGGGCAGGGCCAGCTCTCTAGTGCAGGGTCATCAGGTCATCAGTTATCTCAGAGCCAGCAAGGGTCAGCTCTCAAATGGGGAGTTTCTCCAAGCCATGCCAGGGAGGGGTAGGTCTAGCTCATCATAGCCTTTGTACTTCAACACATAGTTTAACACAGAGTTCAGCATATGGTTTTCATGGGCCCCTGTGGTAACATGGGAAACAGACTTCAACACAGACCCTGCTGTGGCAGGACCACAGAACCAGACATGGCCATCAGCAACAGCTTGAGTCTACATGTCACTATAGCCAAGGGTGGCAGCACAGGTCTCTCAGGTCAGCATGGGCCCAGCAGCATTGTGGTCACCTACCTACAGCATGGCCCCAGATGGAGGCCCAGACTCCATGAAGTCACAAGGTCTTCAATGGCAACAAGTGCCATGGACATCAATACATCCCCTGACTGTGGTAGGGTCATGTACCTAGACATCACTATGGCTCCAGGTGGCAGCCCAAGCCGTCCCATCTGTATGGCTCTGGAGGCCGCATGCTCTCTAGGTATCAACATGGCTTTAGGTATTGGCCCAGTTCCTTGGCATCTGCACTGCCTTTGCTGGTAACTTGTATAAATGGGAATTCTTAATTGGTCTACATAATAAAAACCCAGAGTCTGATATAGAGGGAAATGCTGAGAGGTCAGAGAGAAATAGAAAGCCACAGCACACTTTACATCCTTATCATCTCAGCAGACAAGAGAGTGAGTGCTGATTATTTTCCTCTTATATTCTCTCCACCTAGCCTTCTCAGTTCCTGTCTGTACAAACCTCCAGACCTCCATGGTTAGCTAATGGCAAGCTCCATTCTCTGATCTTTAGACAGGTGTCATTTGTACAAGCAACATATCACCACAAACCCATTGTGTTGGATGTTTGGTTCACATGTGTCTGTGGAAGTAGCAAGATCCCTCTAGGATGTATTTTAGCCTTTGTGGCCACAGGAGAATCAGCTGCTTGGTGAACTGACTGTGCAAAAGTTTTTTTTGTTTTTTATATAATTTACACCTTTGATATATTATTTATGATGTAGTAAAGGTTGCCTGAGGATACAGAAAGCAAAGCTAGACACAAGCCATAGAGATTGTGGTGATACACACCTTTGCGGTGATATATACCTTTAATCCTAGCAGCCATCCTAGGTAGCCATAGAGCCAGGTGATGGTGATACACACCTTTAATCCCAGGACTCCAGAGACGAGCAGATGGATCTGTTAGTCCTCTAATTTTATCAAATAAAATTGGACTTGATTTTGTATCTGTAATTCTTATTTAATTGTTTTTGTTGCATATAATCTCACTATGTTACAGTTAAAACCTTCCTTTTTATTTAGACAAAAATGGGGAAATGCTGTGGAACAATCTTTTACACTAAATATGTATTACTCTTCTTGGTTAATAAAGAGCTGACTGGCCTATAGATGGGCAGGAAGAGATTGGGTAGGAGATCCAGATTATGACACTGAGAAGTAGACGGGTGGAATAAAGCCTCGGGGCAGCATATTGATCAATAGAAGTGGGTTAGGTTAAGTTACAAAAGCTAAACAAAAAGAAGCCTAAGCTATAGGCTAAGCTTTCCTAATTAATAAGTGTTTTTGTAGCTTTTTTGGAGCAGCTTGTGGAACAGATTTGACCAGAAGTCCCAATGAAAAATTATAGGTGCCTTCTTCTGGAAAAGAAGGATGGGCCTCTTGTGAAGCCTTCTTTTGAATGAAGAGTAACAGACTAGCATGGGTGAGAAAGACGCAGTGTGGAAGATCCGAGGAAGTGTTAAATAGTACATAAGTGTTTGAATACTGGCAAATTGATATTTCACAAGTCAGGGGAGTTCATTTTTCATTTTTGACTCATTTTGTTGCAGTTTAAATAGAAAAGAAATAATTTATATTGATTTTTATTTATGAGTACATTTGTCTGTGTCTGTATAGCTACATGGGACCAGGAAAACAAAAACAAAGGATCAAAAACAACAACATCTATGTTCTAGGAACCAATCTCTGGTCCTCTGCAAGGGTAACCATACTATAAACTTAATAAATTGGAAAGCAAGGGTTTCAAATCTCTGAGCAGCTCAGCAATTTGTGGGACCGGTGTGAAGAAAAAGCCAGAAAACCTTTTTAGCTAGTTATTATCCGGAGAGGGCTTTATGCACACGAGTAACGCCCAAGTGCAACAGTGCGCATGCGCAACAGCAAACGCACATGCGCACACATTACTTTCATTCCCGCAGTCATTTTGCTGAAGAAATTTCAAGGAGGTAGGATGCCACAATTGTTGAGGGCTGCTGCTTGTTCGGAGACCGGTAAACCTGATTCAACCCAGGGAGTGTAGTTCATGCAGGAGGAAGGGATGAGTATGAGAAGGAGGACCGAGTGTGAGGAGGAGGAGGACGGGGTGTGAGGAGGAGGAGGATGGGGTGTGAGGAGGAGGAGGAGGACGGGGTGTGAGGAGGAGGAGGACGGGGTGTGAGGAGGAGGAGGAGGACGGGGTGTGAGGAGGAGGAGGAGGACGGGGTGTGAGGAGGAGGAGGACGAGGTGTGAGGAGGAGGAGGACGGGGTGTGAGGAGGAGGAGGATGGGGTGTGAGGAGGAGGAGGAGGACGAGGTGTGAGGAGGAGGAGGACGGGGTGTGAGGAGGGAGGACGGGGGTGTGAGGAGGAGGAGGACGGGGTGTGAGGAGGAGGAGGACGGGGGTGTGAGGAGGAGGAGGAGGACGGGGTGTGAGGAGGAGGAGGACGGGGGTGTGAGGAGGAGGAGGACGGGGTGTGAGGAGGAGGAGGATGGGGTGTGAGGAGGAGGAGGAGGACGAGGTGTGAGGAGGAGGAGGACGGGGTGTGAGGAGGGAGGAGGACGGGGTGTGAGGAGGAGGGAGGGACGGGGTGTGAGGAGGAGGAGGAGGAGGACGGGGTGTGAGGAGGGAGGAGGACGGGGTGTGAGGAGGAGGAGGACGGGGTGTGAGGAGGAGGAGGAGGAGGGGGTGTGAGGAGGAGGAGGACGGGGTGTGAGGAGGAGGAGGAGGACGAGGTGTGAGGAGGAGGAGGAGGAGGACGGGGTGTGTGAGGAGGAGGAGGACGGGTGTGAGGAGGGAGGAGGAGGACGGGTGTGAGAGGAGGAGGAGGACGGGGTGTGAGGAGGAGGAGGACGGGGTGTGAGGAGGAGGAGGAGGACGGGGTGTGAGGAGGAGGAGGACGGGGTGTGAGGAGGAGGAGGACGGGGTGTGAGGAGGAGGAGGACGGGGTGTGAGGAGGAGGAGGACGGGGTGTGAGGAGGAGGAGGAGGACGGGGTGTGAGGAGGAGGAGGAGGGACGGGGTGTGAGGAGGAGGAGGAGGACGGGGTGTGAGGAGGAGGAGGACGGGGTGTGAGGAGGAGGAGGAGGACGGGGTGTGAGGAGGAGGAGGAGGACGGGGTGTGAGGAGGAGGAGGAGGACGGGGTGTGAGGAGGAGGAGGACGGGGTGTGAGGAGGAGGAGGACGGGGTGTGAGGAGGAGGAGGACGGGGTGTGAGGAGGAGGAGGAGGACGGGGTGTGAGGAGGAGGAGGACGGGGTGTGAGGAGGAGGAGGACGGGGTGTGAGGAGGAGGAGGAGGACGGGGTGTGAGGAGGAGGAGGAGGACGGGGTGTGAGGAGGAGGAGGGACGGGGTGTGAGGAGGAGGAGGAGGACGGGGTGTGAGGAGGAGGAGGAGGACGGGGTGGTGAGGAGGGAGGAGGGACGGGGTGTGAGGAGGAGGAGGAGGACGGGGTGTGAGGAGGAGGAGGACGGGGTGTGAGGAGGAGGAGGACGGGGTGTGAGGAGGAGGAGGAGGACGGGGTGTGAGGAGGAGGAGGAGGACGGGGTGTGAGGAGGAGGATGGACTGGGGAGGGGAGGGTGCGACCCCTTGAGGGAGGCCGAATCCCCAGGCGACATTTTACCTGAGACGCCCATCGCCCTTTGGCATCCTGGCATTCCCACTTCAGCCTTTTGATGTCTAAGATTATATAAGCATAGTTATCTTTCTGTATGTTCACTTATGGTTTTTTTTTTTTTTTTTTGTTGTTGTTGTTGGTTTGTTTGACTGTTTTTGAGACAGGGTCTCACTGTAAGCCAGAATAACCAGAACCTCCTTATATGGCTTGGCTTGGACTTGAACTAGACATTTTCAGCCTCCAGAGTGGATTGCTCTGATTAAAGAGAAACCAGAGTCACCATGTCTGGGTCATTTATTTTCGGGCAGTTTTGACAGGCCTTATTGCATGGTAAACATTACCCTATGCCACCAAAATGCATCCCAAGCCATGCCGAGTTTAGCTATCAACATATTTGGGGCATGCCCGTGACCTATAAAGATAGCATCAGCAGATTCATTTTGGCTCGATACTGCCTTAAAACATTTGTTCAAAAAATTTAAAAGTCTGACAGTGATGGAACCAAAAATTAGCTACCTCAGTGACCAAGTACAAACACATTTGGACTCAAGCTTAAAAGCATCACTGAATTCTTTTTTCTTTTTAATTCTTTAATTTTTGCCGGGTGATGATGTCAGTGACAGCCTGTGAGTTTGAGGCCAGCCTGGTCTACAAAGTGAGCTCCAGGACAGCAAGTTGCTCTGTCACACAGAGAAACCCTGTCTCTAAATAAATAAATAAATAAATAAATAAATAATTTTCAGTTATGTATATGGGTTTGGATGTGACTGTAAGTATGGGCACATGAGTTTAGTTGCTTGTGGATGCTAGTAATGGTTAGACCCTCCTAGAGCTGGTGTTACAGGAAGATGTAAGTGTTGGGAAACAAGCTTAAGTCAATCTGCAAAAAAAAAAGTATACACTCTTAACTACTGAGCCATCTCTCCAACCATCCTTTTTTAAAATCAGAAATTATAAATTGTTAATTTCTGATTTAATAATATATAGAAACTGGTAACTTTTTATTCAACTACTTTCATTCTTACTGGATATTTTACATTTTATTGGTTGATTTAAGTTGATTGTTTTGGGTTCAGGTGAAAGATCTGTGTTTCTGTTTTAAGTGACAAAATATTAAAAATCTATTTTCTGAGACCTGTGAAGCTACCAATGGAAAACCAAGAGCACATAGCAATCTATCACTATGATATTGATGATGAAAAAGAGGAAGTAGAAGAGGTCTTAGAAGAAGTAGATAATGGACTGGACTGTTCAGCAGGCTTGACTCCTCCAGGTACAGTATATCCAGTTCTAAGTTTGGTGGCACCCCATAGTTCAATTTATTTGTGTGTGCTGGGATAGGGGGTTTGTCAGGGGACACCTTACAGGAAGTGGATCCCTCCTCCCACCATGGGTATCTCAGGGATGAGTCATGTAGCTTTCAGAGTTGTCAGTAAGCTCTACACCCTAACCTCCTCAGTTGTTGTGATTTCCCAGTTCATTTGGTTTTTTACATAGCTGTCTGAAATAGAATGAAAGGTTCCTGTTTTCATATACTTTGTTTACTCTTAGTCTTCACAAGCCTATATGAAAATTCTGGAAATACATATAGTACTTTGTCAGGACAGTGTACATATATCAATAAATTGTAAATAACATATAGTGACATTACCCTAGAAGGGCTTGAAAACCTGTACTTATTTTATGGTTATAACATGATTTTATTTCATCTAACCTTCAGAATAATACTGCATTTAAATTATTGTTTAAAATATTATGTTAGAAAATGGCTGAAAAAAAACTATAAATAAAATTACTATTTCATTAAAATTACCTAAAATAGCACATTTAACTTTTTGTTTTCAATAAAAATGTTTTTCATTCTTGTTAAATGCAGAAAGAAGTCCAGAGCATGAAAATCCTAGGATGACAAGGCTTCCTACAAGAAAGAATGAAGATCCAGGGTAATATGTTAAAACAATTTTCCGTGCTCAAAAATTATTTTCATACCTGTTATCCCAGCACTGGGGAGATAGAGGCAGAGCGTAAGAAGTTCAGTGACATTCTCAGCTCTATGGTCATCTTGGGCTAACTGGGTTCCTATTTTCTAGAAAAGCAAAAAAGAATAGGAAAAATTTACTTTGCTTATGTAATAAGTATTGGATATGTTATTTCACATGTGGTATTTCCTTGAAACCAAGCATTTTATATTGCAATTTCACACTTAATTAAAAGGCTTGGCGTTGTGCATACAGGTGATGCTTGACCATTGAAACAAACCTCAACTTTAATTTTTTAATGTAATTTCTTTACAGGACTGAAGTAAAGAATAAGATGGAAAATATTGGAGGTACATTTTTGATGTATTTGTATCTAGAGAAAGTTGTTTAAAACTATATAGTGTTTAAAATACTATCTTGGAAAATTTTCAATATAGTGTCAATGTGCTATAGGATTGTTAATTAATACTTTATTCTCAGTGATAGGATATTGGACAAATATTTTTTACTTAGCTCAGAGATTTTCTCAGTTAAACTTTTTCTTTATAGGGAAAGTAAACCTGGTACTTTTGTATATATGTGACGCAAATGGCATTATGGAAAGTAAAATGGATGGGACAATAATTTATAATTCTTTGGATTCACAGATTTATATATACACATATTTACATATGTCAGAGTCTCATTAATTCTATTTTCTACAAATCCTCTTGGATTCCTTTTTCTCTCCCAACTTATTATTTTTTTAAACAGTGTCTCTACTCTGACAGGCATCCAGAATTTAGGAGACCTCCAGACTTCAATAGTCCCCATACCTTAGCATAACTGATGCCATGATAAAACACAATTCAGGCATTGAAACCCAGAAAATTGGCAGAAATTCCCACTGTCTTAGCCAGAGTTACTATTGCTATGATGAAACACCATGGCCAAAGCAACTTAAGGAGGAAAAGATTTATTTGGCTTATAATTTCACATCACTCTTCATCATCAAAGAAGCCAGGGCAAAAATTCATACAGGGCAGGAACCTGGAGGCAGGAGCTGATGCTGAAGCCATGGAGGAGTGCTGCTTACTGGCTTGCTCAGCCTGCTTTCTTATAGACCCCAGCAGCATCCAGGAGTGTGATCTGAGCCCTCCCTCAAGGGCTACTCAAGGAAACAGCCTGTAGGCTTGCCTATAACCCATTTTACAAAGGCATTTCTTAATTGAAGTTACCTCCTCTAAGGTGAATTTAGATTGTGTCAAGTTGGCATAAACTAGCCAGCCCATCTGCCAAAACAGTCACAAAGGCTAAGTCAATGGTTCCAGGATGTGGCTGGGAAAGTTTCTGAGAAAAAAATCCATACACATATTTGCCCTGCTGTTTTGCTTCTGCAGTTCCACTTCTTTCAAGTGCAGTGTGCCAACCAGGATAGGATTTTTGTGCATAAAAGGCTAAGAAATGTAAGGCTTAGGGCTGCATGATGTGGGCAAGTTCTCTGTGCATCTGCTGGCTGGCAGTAAAGACTTTCTATTCCGTTTTAAGAGTGTCTATGTGGAGGTCTCTGGTGGGCTTACCTTGAAACACTGCATAGCCCAGGTTGTTCTGGATCTTATGTAGATAAAGCTGGCCTCGAATTCACAGGCATCCACATGCCTCTGACTATCCTAGCCTCCTTTATGATTCATGTATTTAGCATACTGAGTCCAAATTGTCTTGACCATAATATTTTTTACAATAAGCTATGTATCAAAAATGAAAGAAATTTACTGTCCAGGGAGATATCTTTAATCAGATGTCAAAAAGACATTACATTTTAAATTCTGTTTTAATTACATCTTTTTAAATCTTGTAATATATGTTAATTGTTGTGACACACACACACACACATACACACACACACACACCCTGTTTTAGTTTCAGAGACAGGGTGTCACCATGTAAATAATTTTGGCTTGAAAATGTCTATTTTGGCCATCTTGATCTTCAAATGTGAGATCTGGTTGTCAGCAGGGTACTATGGTTACTAAATTCAGGTGCCTCATCTAGATTAGGAGACAACATTCTTTAAGAACAGTTTACATGTTCTTCCTTTTCAGGAACTATTTATACTGTCAAGTGTTTTTGGGAGAATTTTCACAGTTGGATGATATCAGAGTACTTGTTTCCTAAATTTATTGTAGCTACTAAAAGCATAAAATATTACTTTAATCATAGGTTGTGATGGTAATTATGGTAGAAAGGCATGTTTTTGACAAACATTATTTGAAGTATCAAAATTTTATAAACTGTAAAAAATGTCCTATAAAAGCTTTACAAATGCCAGGCAGTGGTGGTGCATGCCTTTAATCCCAACACTAGGTAGGCAGAGAATGGCTATACAGGGAAACTCTACCTCAAAAAAAAGGCAAAGCTTCACAGAAGTATTAAAAATGTTTTTGGTACTATCAGAGGTAATTCCAGGTAGTGGTAGCGCACGCCTTTAATCCCAGGACTCTGGAGGCAGAGGCAGGTGGATCTCTGTGAGTTCGAGGCCAACATGGTCTATAGAGAGAGTTACAGGACAGGCTCCAAAACAATGCAGAGAAACCCTGACTTGAAAAATCAAAAACAATATTCTTGGTAATTACTAAACTAAGATTCTTTTTTCAATCTTTGGTCTTTTCTATTTGTAAAAAGTAAATTTCAACATATCATTACTATGTTACAAGTAAATTTTTATCACTTCATTTAGTTATCCATTTTGAATGGAAGCCTTCAATTTCTTTAAAATTTGACCTAATTTAAAAATATTTTGAGACAGGATCTCACTGTGTAGCCCTGGTTGGTCTTGAACTCACTATATAGACCAAGTTAGCCTTGAACTCAAAGATATGCTTGCATCTGCCTCCCAAGTGCTGTTATAAAAGGTTAGTGACACCATATCTAGCCTGGAATCTGGCTATTTAACAGCATGGACTTCTTTAGCATACAATGTATTCCCCTCCTCCTAATCTTTTTCTTCTTTTTGAGATGGGGGTTTCTCTGTGAATCACTGGCTGTCCTGAAACTCTGTCTGTAGACCAGGCTGCCTTAGAAGTCACAAAGATCTACCTGCCTCCGCCTCCCAAGTGCTGGTACTAAAGACATGCACCACCACTGCCCAGCTATATAATGAATTCCAATTGGAGAGTAGTGTTTAAATTTTTAAAACATGTGTATTCTTATAATTTTCCCTTGCGGAAAATTAAAGTCTTTTTTTGTTCTATTATTTTGTTTATTAGTCTTTTTTATGATCTCCAGATTTAAAATTTATCTTCATCAGGAAGACTATAATTGTAGTAATTTAGGTTTTTCTAATTTACAATGCTCAGAAACATACATATTTGCAATGTTAGAATTTTATTTTGATTTGGAATATTTCTATGAAAAACAAAAAATCTCGAGTGCTATAAAATGTGAAGGGCTTGAGGTGTTTTGTTGGTGCTATTTTTAAGTGTCCTTGGTATTGCTGAAAGAATTTTACCTGACTCTGTGTTTACTTGCATTACATTTTCATGAATTTTTTCAATGAAGCTAACCTCAGTAGTGCTGTTACTGAAAAGAAGAGAAGGATGGAGGCATACATTAAAGGCGTTGTCAAGGACTGCAACAAGAGTATCAAACAGCATTTGAAATTTCATGAAGATGAAGTGTAAGATGCTTCACTTCTTTTATAGTATACATTTGTGCTGATTATTCCATTAAGTGGAGTCTGTTGAAAAGTTTTGACTTAACTTTTTCTGCAAGCTGTCACAACTTTCTGGATTGAGATATGTTTCTGTGAAGCCTGTGAACATCATGTGTTTTTTCTCCTTAATTTTAAATAACAATTGAGGGTTATTTTTAAAACCTCATTTCTGTTCATTTTGTAAGTCAGTAAAAAGTGGATTCATAGAAACTTCATTTCTTAAAGATATGCTTGACAAGGTAGAAAAATAATTTATGTATTTTAAGAAATTTAATCATTCCCTTGTAGTCTTGGCTATGACAAAACAGATTTTAAAACTTAAATACTTTTTCTAAAATTCATATGTATATCATCATATATATTATCATATATAAACATACATAGATAAATCATATGTTGTTATTGTTCAGTAAGACACCATGTGAGAACACCTTTTTATTAGTTAGGAAAAATACTTCCGGTATCAACATAAACCTAATTTTATTTTTTTATTTCTCCTCAAGGATATTTACTCTGCTATTATGTCCTTCCTTTTATAGTACATAATATTGAGTTTTAATTTTTCTTTGAATGTTCTCTTCATCTTGATATGCAGTGTAACATTCATTGTTATGTTTTACAGGCGAGAGTTTAAAATTGAATATACTGAGCAGATTATAACACTGTTCCAGCAATGGGATTTCGATATAAAGCAACTTGGAGACCAAGAAGATAAACTGACTGTTGGTATCACATTTGCTGTTATAATTAATCTATTATTACTAAGGCTCCTGTTAAAATAGATAAGCTAGCCTTGCATTAGGCACATGAAAATGAGCTGGGTTTCATGATCTGTTACTGGCTTCGTGTTCCATTCCTGGTGAACCATAAACCACAGAAATAGAGATACATACAATGCTCATAAAAGCTATTGGATTTCTGATATCAGTTAAGATTCTTGCAATTTTAAGCAATAGAAAATTGTAAAAGAATAAATGAAAGCTTGCTGATTTGTGTAAATAAATTGTGGATAGGTTAGTTTCATACATAGTTGAATGGTGTGTGGAGTACATTATGTAGTATTACCCGTCGGTGCATCTTAGTGAACCTACTAAATGCCATATGACAAATCTTCTGTTTTTAGACTTAACTACAAATTTATTGGCTTCAGTGAACTGTATCAGTCTTTTCTCAATAGCCTTGCCAGAATATTCTTGTGCAGGACTATCACTGTCCTAGTTAAGTTTTTGGACATTTCCCCATTTCTGAACTCATTACCATAGACAGAACATGGTTTGTATCTTTTTCTTCCTCTCTTCTCCATGTTCCTCTCCTTCTCTCCCTCTCCTTTACCTCCCATTCCCTGTCCCACTTCTTCCCCTTCTTCCATTTCTCCTTCTGAATTTTTGAGTTAGCCCAGGACATTTTGCAAGGGAGGCAAGTACACTTTCGCAAAGCTACATCACCAGTTCACAAAATCATTTATTCTCAGCAGTCAAATATGTTACTTTTCCATTCCCATATTAATGAAAACTAACCCTCTGCAAACATTTTAAAGCATTAATTACACTTTCCGTTTGTTTCTTTTCACCTTTTCATTTTAGAAAACCATTTTAATATTATATTTGAGGTCCCGATTATATCAGAACAGTTTGGGGGTTGGATGGCCGCAGCAGTTATGGAAATTCAACTTGAAATGGATGTGACATTCAGTGGGGCAGCTGAGTAAGCCAGTAGTATGTGAGAATGGAATTTTAGGAGAAAGCCATTTTTTAAGGACACAAAGTTGAAAGTTATTAATTTAAGGTCATTTTTAAGCCATGAAGATCAGATGAAACCATCCAGAGGTAACTGAGGGCTGGGTGGTGGCATATGCCCTTAATCCCAGGACTCAGGAGGCAGAGGCAGGCAGATCTCAGTGTGAGGCCAGCCTAGGCTACATAACAAGTTCCTGGACAAGGCTACACAGAGAAACCCTACTAAATAAATAAATTGGCGGAGGATACCAGTTGAATTAAAGGCAGTTCCCTGGAGTTTTCCAGTGCATTGGTTCTAAAGAGAGTGAAGCAGTAAAGCAGATTGAGACCAAGAGGTCTATTGGGTAGCAATTAAACTACTCCAAGTAAAGGAAGCCTTTTAAAAGAAGAGCCTATTGCTTTCACAGTATGCCACTTACAGGTGAAATAAGGTAGATTTGACAACATGGAGTTTACCATTGGTGCCTTGAATCAGAATGATTAGATTGGAAAAGTGAGTGTAAACCTCATAGAAATAAATACAAGACAGGATAGGAAAAATTGTGATAGCCTGAGGAGTAACATAATAGTTTTTGTTTGCTTGTTTTAAGGGAAGGGGAATATGTTTAAAAAGAGGAAGACAAAGATAATTGCTGAGTTATTAAGAATGGGGTGTTTGAGGAGGTTGAATTTAGTAAAGAAGTATAACACAGCCTTAAAACTAGGAGGGAAAATAGAACACATGATGTATACAACTGTAGATAGGTGCTAATATGCTGATGAGAGACTGGAAGTTCCCTTTAGATAAAGTCATCAGGTGCTGGAAGTGTTGCCAACAGGTAGACTGGCTGGAGTTGAGGTTTCCAAGCCCATGATTTAGCCAAGTAAATTTGAGAGAGCAAGTACCAAACAAGGTGCATATGCAAAGGGGTATATTTTAACAATTGGTTGTGCAGTTCAAGGCTAGAAAGAGAAAACGAGATAACAGGAGCAGGAACAACAGTGAAAGAAAGCTAGGATTCATGAATTTTTGGTCTTGAAGTATTGCTCAGCCATAATGCTAAAAAGAGTAAGCTCCAGTAGAAAATGTTAAGAGTTAGGAGCTCTTAATATGTGGAGAGAGAGCGTCTATAATGATTATAGCTTAGATTCTGAGGTATAGTGCTTTGGATCTGATTCAGATTTCAGTAATAGCTAGCCTTGGAACAACAGGCAGTATGTCATTCATTGTATCTCAGTTTCCTCATTTTTTAAAGAAAATGGTAACTAACCATCTATTTCCTATAGTTGTTGAAGTATTGGATGAGTTTATATAGAATTAATCTACGAGTTCAAAATAATACTTGCCATGGAGTTAATATATACTTTCTATTACCAATACTATAGAAAAGTATGTTATGAGTAATGGAAAAATATAGAGTAAAATATTTAAATAAGTGGATAAAGTAGGGTAGAGGTAAAAGTCTTTGGTTGAGAATAAGTTAAAGAGCTAAAAGGAAGCTTATTGGAAAATCACCTTTGTAGACAATACTAGAATAAGGTGTCTTGAATAAGAGAAATTCCTGCTCCATCTCACAAACTGCTTTCCAAGATACTTGAGATGTAGAGGTAGGAAGATCATAAATTCTTACTGTTCTGTGCATATAGAATCTGAATGTAAAAATTCCTACTCCATGACTTTGAGGTTGTTTTGGTGGTTAGTGGTAAAAACACAAATTGCTTAAACTTTGTGGTAAAAAAAAATATCAAAATACTGACAGCATTTATTTAAAGAAACAATTCCTTTTAAGATTAATTTGTAATTCTTTTTGCCTGACTTTAAAAGTTTAGTCCCTGGATTAGCTTAGTTGTACACTTTATCTAGCATGAGAGAAGCCCAAGAGAGTACCAAGAGCAACTACCTTCATACTTGTTATTACTTTTCCATTTTTATTTGTAGGCTAATTTCCATCAACAACAAAAGACTTTTCAACAAGCTAGAATGATTCAGAACCACAACCTGAAAGGACTTAAGCAGGAAAACGAGGAGTTTCTTAAGGTGTGTTGTAAATTGTACCATAATTTTTTTTTTTTTTTTTTTTTTTTTTTTTTTTTTGTAGCTGGAGAGACAGCTTTGGGTGCTGGGAATTAAACTCTTAGAATTTTGATTGTGAGCCTAGCCTTCAATGGTTGAGTCATCTTTCCAGTCCCATCATGCACTCTTAATGCATTTTCAATGTTTAACTAGTTTCCCTTCTGAATTAATTGATTATGACTGAAGTGATAAGCAAATTCACAAATCTCTCATGATTTTGATAGGTAAATATTCAAATCATGAAATGTTGAGACTTTTATCAGAAATGTGCTCATGCATCAAATATGTAGATCATTAACACTTTAGTTATTCTCTGTTTAACTGCAAGTAATAAGCCTATACATCATTTTAACATTATCCTTTGTCCTTGTATCCTCAGTATGTTAAATAAGGAAGTGCTTAATTGAGATTATTGGACTTTTTGTTTTTAAATATATTATAGGAACATTTTCTGAGATACTAGATTTTAGAACAATTATAGTGACCAAAATTATTTTTGACCAAAGTCTTTTATATGCCAGTTTATAATTGTAAAACAGAGTCTAGAAACAAAAGATAAGTGAGGGTAAAAATTTGTAGATTTGGGTTGAAGACACAGCTCAGCAGTTAAGAGTACTTCCAGTCCCTGCTTATACTCTTCCCCTAAAATATTTTTAATTGCTTTAATTTTGAAACTTTATTCTTTTGCCAACCTACTTGCAATAACCCCATTTTTACACTATAGCTAAAAATAGATTCATTTTCATTGCAGTTATTGGGTGTTTGAATTATTTTGTTTACATGTTTTTTTCCATTAAAAGAGGTGAGCTATCTTGTGCTACGATTTTTTTCTAAAGTCTCTCCACAACTTTCACATAGTAGTACACGTTAAACAGAAAGTAAAAAAATAACCTGTTAGTTAACTTAAACTCAAATTTTCACTGGTTATAGTGAAATGATAACACAGGCACAGGCAAATGATGACAGCTGAAAATGAAGGATGGGGAAGTTGGAGACTCACTTGGGCTACACAGCAAGTTCATGTAATAGAAACCAAAGTACAAAAATGGACTTTTTTTTTCTGTACCTTGGAAACAGTATCAATATACAGATCATTTAATTATTTTGTTCACATTGACTGTTAGTTATAACAAGTGAATTATAACCTGATATTTGAGAACTTTCTAAGATGTTCTCAAAATCTCCATGTTTACTGATTGGACTTGTGGATTTCCTAGTGTTTCTATTCTACATATTTTTGTTCTTTCTTTTTAAAGATCGAGTCTTGTGTAACTTACTCAGGCTGGCCTTGGTCTTCCTATATACCTGAGTATAACCATGAAGTCCTAATCCTTCTGCCTTCACCTCTTTAGTGTTAATACAAGCATGTTCCACAGCTTGGTTTATGTGGTTCTAGGGATCAGACCCAGGGTTCATTCATGCTAGGCAAGCACTCTACCAACTCATGTGCATCCCAGCCCTGCCCTGCTTTTGAGACTGTGCCCAACTACTCTATGTTGTGCTTGTTAGTGTTTAGTTCTTTATGCTCCCAATTGAGCTTCAGGGTGACTGGGAGCTGTGCTTTTTTGTTCTTTCAAACCCTAACATCTCAGTAAACTATTGATTCACACACTGCTACTTTTGTACATGCTATAGTTACCTTTAATTCCTTGTTCACACACACAAGTACACACACATTCTTTATGGTATGAATTTGGGTGTTCAGATAGTACAGTGTTTTTTCAACTTACTTATTTGTATTTTATGTACATTAGTGTTTGCCTGTATCTATGTCTATGTGAGGGTGTTGGATCCCCTGGAATAGAAGTTACAGAGAGTTGTGGGTGCTGGGAATTGAACCCAGGTCCTTAACCATTGAACCATCTCTCCAGACCCATATTACAGTGGTTTATGAAGACAGAATAGATAATGGATATTACCTGAATATGAAAACATTTTTAATTTGGGAAAGTAATTATAGACTTTGGAATCTGTGATGAAAACTTGTTTTGTGACTAAACTATTCTTCTGTGTTTAGGATTTGGAGGACTTGGAGGATGGCAGTCTACTTACTAGCGTACGCAACGAAATTAAAAAACAAATGACTCTGTTGCAAAAAAAAATTACAGGGAGTTAAATATTGAATTGTAACAACAGGGAATAGTAGAAGTTCCAACATACTTTGTTTCTCTGAAATACAATAATTAACAAATGTTATTCTGATGAGTCTTGAGAAAAACTTGTACCTGAAAAATATACTTTGTTCTAACTAAGAAACATGTCTTTCAAATTTGACTGTATTTTATACTATCTTTTATCATTAGCTTTTTTGAAGTGCAGCACCTATATTCCTGTTGACTTTCAAATAAAATCTAAATAGTTATGTGACCTGAAGCCATTCTTGTGCATCAAAGTATCAGCTGTTTATCTGTATTAGTAAATTTTTCTTATAATATTAACTTTTATTTACAAAGATGTAGGTTTGGGGTCATTGCATGGTGACACAGATGTTTAATCCTACCACTTGGGAGGCAGAGACCAGTGGACTCTGAGTTCAAGGCCAGACTAGTCTATAGTGTAAGTTCTAGGACATTTAGAGCCACACAGAGGAACCTTGTCTCAAAAATACAAAAAACAAAATATAGGTTTTGATTTTAAAATAAGTATATTTTTTACCAATCACAAGACACAAATTATAAGACAACTAGGGACCACACTTCCTAAAGTCAAATTGCCCCTGGGGAACCAATGAGCCCATTAGGCTTACTTACAGAATGGGAAAGAGGTACTGACATAAGTGTTAGTGATCCCAAAGCAGCCACACCGGAAAGTCATCACCCAGTATAGATAGTGGCTTCCCCATACATTCATAGATAGAGTCCCCGTTCCCTACTGTTCCCTAACTTTTATACTCTAAGTGCTCCCTGAGGCCACATACAATTAGCCTGAGGCCACATACAATTAGGGATAGAACTGCTTGCAATTGTGAAGGAACAGTGAGGGCTGAACAAATCGCCCTGCCCTCTTTTATGAGGGAATAAATGTCCAGTCAACAAATCCGGCCTCAATGCATTTTTTTTCTCAAGCAGACACAACTGGTCTTATGAAGATGGCAGTTATTCTGCACATATGATAGTGATGTATAGCATCCCCTCTTATCAAGGATTTTCTGGAATGTTGTTCTGGGTGTAAGGTTAGGGTGAGCAGGCAGCATAAGTAACATGTAATCAAGGACATGGCATGTTATGTGCCAGGCAATATTCCAAGGAATGCACTGGAGCTCACAATTCTAGGCTTTAGGCATATGGCTATGGGTGCTGCCAGGCTCCCTGGTCTGTTGTGTGTAGAATTAGGGGAACACATGGGTACACGGAGAGCAACTCTCAACATGATTCCACCCCAGCACACAGCTTCATCTGGGTGACAGGTTTAAGTCTCCTAAGACCAGTGTAAATCCAAGCTTCCATATAAAAACCTAGGCCAAAATGTGTTTCTGGTGACTTAATGAGAGTCCCAATCCTGTTCTGTTCTGGAATGGAAACGTAGATGGTTTAGATGTGACCCTTCCCAGGACTCCATTATTTGGACACAAAGCAAGAGAAGCTAAAGGTCAGGAGACAGCAATTACAATTGCAGGCCTGAGTTCAGAAGAGAAAGAACCAGATCAGCCCTCACTGGAAGATAGTTTGTTTTTGTTTTCAGTGTCTTGGTTACTGAAAAACTTTGGGCCATTTTGATGAGCTGGGAGCAGTTCATCCCTGCACAATTGTCTAGCTTTTGGAGTTTTTCTGTGCGTATTCAGGGCCTATTGCAGGACAAAAACGAAATGTAATGCTCCAGCATTTTCTTGATCCAGTGGGTCAAAAGGGTGTAAATTTGGAAAGCTTCTTGTAATTGCTCAAGAAATGCCCCCAGGAAACTGTTCTGGGCTGTGAAGGACCTTATTGGTTTTAGGAAAATTTGTGGGTTTTCAAGCTGCACTCTGAATTCCAGTCATAACTCACCAGTTAAAAGTGTCCCAGGGCCTGGGCACACCAGCATACACATTGGGGTTCCAGTCAGAGCACTTGGATGGGAAAGTTGCCTCAAAATATCTGTTAACAGTGGCTGAGGCCAAAAAGCCTTCATTACCCTTGTCTCAATATGATCCCTTTCCTCTTAAGTAAACAGGTGGGGAATTGGGTCAGCAGACATGGTAGAAGAGGATGGTTAGGGCTTGGGGATTATTAGAAAAGGGAGAGGTAGTCTGGATCTTTCAGTTATACAGATCTAAAGCAGAGAAAGGAATATAAATCAGGGAAGGGTGACACCCTCCAAGTTGGTTGCCCCCTATTCCAGGAGGTAGTTGGGCCTTCCACAATAGAAAAACAGGCCAGGACCTGAGTCAGGTCCAGAGTATTCTGTGCCCTTAAGCTGGAAGCCAGGAGTAGTGAAGGAAGTGGAGGAAGTTAGAGAAGTGGATATCTCCATAAGAAGAGATAGGGATGGTCACAGAGGGAGACGGAGCCATTATAGGTGTTAAGAGAAATCTGGCACTAGGAAAATGTCCAGAGATCTACAAGGATGACCCCAACTAACAATGTAAGCAATAGTGGAGAGCCTACCTTAAATGTCCTTCCCTGATAATGAGATTGATGACTACCTTATTTGCCATCCTAGAGCCTTCATTTAGTAGCTGATGGAAGCAGAAGCAGACACCCACAGCTAAACACTGAGCAGAACTCCTGGAATCCAGTTGCAGAGAGGGAGGAGTGATAAGAAAAGGGGTCAAGACCGGGCTACATAAACCCACAGAGACAGCTGACCTGAACAACGGGGAACTCATGGACCCCCCCAGACTGATAGCTGGGAATCCAGCATGGGACTGACTCAGACCCCCTGAACATGGGTCTCAGTTAGAAGGCCTGAGCAATCTAAGGGACCTTTTTGTAAGGCATATGTGGCTACTGGGGTTTGGGAGCTCAGAAGTGTCTAGGTAGACACAAAATAAGGTTGTAATAGTCTGTAAAGGTGCTTGTCATTAGGCCTGAAGACTTGAATTCAGTTGCTGGGACCATATGGTAGAGGATAGCAGACTCCAAGGTTATCCTCTGACATCCACATAAGCAATGAGACATGTGGTATGTATGTGCATGTGTATGTGTGTGACACAACTGATTGAACTTAAATACAATAGAACTTTAACTTCTTTATTGACTCTTTGGGAGTTTCACATCATGCACTCCAATTCTGCTCACTGTGGTGGTATCTTGCTTGTACAAGTAAAGCTTCTCTGAAGATCAGAGGATAGAGCTTGCCACTAGCTAACCATAGAGGTCTGGAGGTCTGAACAGACAGACAGGAAGTTAGGTGGCTGGGAGGAGAGAGGATGTAAGTGGGAGGAAAGAGGAACTTGCTCTCTGGTCTGCTGAGATGCTAAGGAGGTAAAGTGTGAACCATGACTAAGCCTAACAGCAACCTTTAAAGTCTCCAAAAGAGGATGGGGCCCCACAATGACAATTTCACCAGGAATATGACAACACCATTATGCCAAACAGCACCAACTAAAGATCAGCTTTCAATGCAAACTGCTCATAACAAATTTGAGGTGACTTGTTGAGGTTATCCAGCCTCACAGACTACTTTAGCCAGCATGTGAGACAAGCCCCGCACTTGGCCCATTACGCAGAAATGGAACAACAAATGATGCAGCTTGACAATTAGGCCAAATTTTCTTTTCAGGATCCTCTAAAGATGCTGTCAGCCCAGAACTGCAGGAAGTAACATTAAGAACACAATGCCCACATTTCCAAGAGGTGGGGTGGGGAGATTTTGGTCACTCATTGGGTTATGGATATTTGTCATTGTTTAGGGGGACTTGTTTTAAAATGGTGTTGCTTACAATCAGGAAGAAAGTTGAACAAAGGGGATTAGATTTGAGGTTTTTCTTTGAAAAAAAGATAAATACAGTTATGATAGGATAAAAGGAGTAGATTATTGAATCTACTCTGAAAAGAAAAAAGGGAAGATAAAGATATGAATAGATAAAAAGGTAGTTTATTGAATCCACTCTTAAAAAAGCAACTACTTGTTTCAAATATTTTACATTGGATTGGAATTTTATATGTTGTATCCAAATGCTGTATATTGATTCAAATTTGAGATTAATTTAGCTAAAATGAACTGTACATACATTTCTAGTATTGTTCAAGTTATTGTACCTATACAGCTCATTTAACGATGTGATGCAAATTTCTAATCCTTGAAAGTTATTATGAAATATATAGGCTAGTAAGGAAATATAGGAATGTTTTGAAAGGCAAGCAGGGACATATTTTAGGAAGACAGGTTGTCTTCAAACACTTAAGGGAGCTACAGAATATAGTATTTAAAGTGTTTTAATAACATGTGTTTTTATGATAATGAGATATAACTGGTCCTGGCAGCACCAATATACTTAAGAGAAGATGCTGGGCATTGAAGAAACTCCAAATGGACTTTACTCTCTTTGTGGCAAAGGTTAAGCCAGTAGGCAAAAACATGCCCTTGCCTGAACTGCCAAGAGTATACTACCCAAACTTGACAAACAGGACACCAAACCTTGCCAGCACAAGGCGGGACAGTCCTTCAGGTTATCCTGCTTCACAGAAATGTCTGTCAGATGTGCTAGGCATATAGACTGAAGATGGATGTCGCAACATTGCAGAGGAAACTTGGGTGACTGTCCAGGCAGCCAGCTGTTTCTGTCATCTCTCACAATTTTTGGAAGTCATTTGCTCACACTTACTGTTTACTCAGTTAATATTATTTCCTTCTCAAGTCTCTGATGGAGTTGAAGACTAGCTAGTATAGTTACAGTTTTCCTTGTTTGCCAGACTTAGTAAAGAAACTCACTAAATATGTATTAAGTGTCATAGGCCTGAAAGACATTAAAAGATAATTTGATAATACAAATTAGAATAGAAAGTAATTTAGGTACAAGATTTTGGACTCCTCAAGAAAGAATAGATACTGGAATATTTTCTCTGAATTTGTCACATGCTAAAGATTACATATTGTCAATATACTTATTGCCTGCATATATTTTATATACTTATTGTATATAGTTTTTCTCATACTAGGTATAACTTTTTAAAATTTTGGAGAAAGGAGGGATATGTGGTGATATCTTACTTGTACAAATAAAGCCTGTCTGAAAGTTAGACACGGGAGCTAGCCACTAGCTAACCATAGAGGTCTGGAGGTCTGTATAGACAGGAAGTGAAACAGCTGAGCAGAGAGAGGATATAAGCAGGAAGAAGTAAGTACTTGCTCTCTGAAGGAGGTGAGGTAAGTCCTTCTTCTCTCTGATCTCTCAGCATTTTCCTCTATATCTGACTCCCGATTTTTATCACTTAGATCAATTAAGAACTTTGTTTGCATCTCACCTTCTGGTCCCCCAAGTCCTCCCCTCAGCCCTGCCCTGTGGTGCCTTCCCACAAAAGGAAACAAAACAAACTAAGCAAGAAAACAAACAAAAGCAAAAACAAAACTCCCCACAAAAAAAAAAACAAAGTGAAAAAAAAGTCTTTGTTTCAATTTTTTCCTGCCTCTATGCACCTCTTCATCCATCCTAGTGGCACTGGGGGCTTCGGTGTGTTTGTTATATAGTATACCCCTTTGTCCCATCAGCTTTACTAGTAAATATTCATTGCAAAGAGTCACTGGTCTGATTCAAGGTCTCTGGTTCCCAGTACCCCATCATCACTGGATCCACACCCAAACTCCTGGGATATCCTGTGGCTGCCCTGAGTCTTGGAGATCTTGAGGTTATCATTCCACAGGACCAGTCCCTTCACATACTCCAGCAGGACCTAGATGGGGTAGACTCTATCTGGGGTGAGCCAACCCAAAACATGGCTATGGGGCTGGGTTGTAGTTGAGCAGGTCAGTCTGGGCCACTGGAACTACCTGCTTTGGGCAAGCAGATGAAGTCAGCTCCCCTACATGTATGCCATCAGGGTTGGTTCAGCTTTATTTGTGGTGAGGGGTGGGGGCCAACTCTCCCAAGTATGGATCAGCTCTCTTGCTGTAGTGTCCAGTGAGAGGCAAGACCAGCTTTCCCAGGGTCAGCAAATGGTGGAGTGGCTCAGAATGGCCCTCTGATTTCTTCTCACATGGTTCCTACGGCCTACAAATGTGGCACATGTCATAGACATTGAAGCAGGACCCCAGCTTCAGCTGGACCTTGGATCCAGATATGGCCCTCAGTGGTTGCTTGGGCCTGGAAAACATTCTGACTCTGGGTGAAAGGAGAATTCTATTTATGTAAAAATATTTCTGGTAGCTGTGTAGTGACTGAACATCACCAAGGCTTTGGGTTGTGGCCCCAACCCTGGGTCTCTATGGGACCTTTGTTGACAAAACAGGACCCAGACTGTAGCACAGCCCCCAGCCATGGTAGGACGATGGACCCAGACATGATCCAGGCTCTGACTGCTGTAGGGTCATGGACCCAGACATGGCCCTTGTCAGTAGCCTGGGTCAGGATGACACCATGATTCTGGGTGGCAGCACAGGCCACCAATTTCTATATGGCCCCCAGACTCCAACAAAGTTGCCAGCTCCAGCCTAAATTCCTGGTTTTTCTGTAGGCCCTAGTGGCAAACTGGGCTACAGACTTCAACAAAGACCCCAGCTGCAGGTAGCAATGGATCCAGGCATAGCCCCAAGCACCAGTTTGACATGTCAACATCCTAGCAACAAGTGGCAGCCCTGGCCACTCAGATCAGGATGGCTCTGGTAGTGACATAGCCTCTGGCCACCAAAGAGGCCTTAGGTTGTGGCTTAGACCTCAGGCTTCATGTGATCTTAGGTGCCAACAAGGGCAGTGGACATCTCCATGGACATCGACTATGGAGTGACCATGGACCCAGACATGGTCCTTGGCAGTTGCTTAGGTCTGGTTGTCACCATCGCCCCAGGTAGCGACAAAGGTCACCCATCAGCATGGACCCAATGGCAGTGTGGCCTGTGGATCCAAACACAGCCCCAGAAGGTAGCCTAACCCACTGGAATTCAGCATAGCCCTTGATGGCAACAGGAGCCATGGACATCAGTACAGGCCTTTGGCACCAGCCTGGCCCAGACATCACAATGGCCCCAGGTGGTAAGCAGACCTCCCCCTTCAGACTACTCCTTGCCACCTTCACCATGGCCCCACGTGGCTATTTAATTAAGGTCTTGCCTCCAAAACTTTCACTCAGAGTTCAAAAAGAGAGGCCACAATAAATGTAGGATCTAAGTGTAAGGGCTATAGAAAAGAATCTTCTCATACTCTTTCTACACCTGAGCTATTTATTGTTCTCTCTTTCCTGTTCTCTATTCTAATTTTTGTTCTAATGTCTATAATTCCTTAGCTTAATTTTCTGTCTCAATTCTAATTCCAATTCTAATTAATTCTCTCTTTTGTTGTTTCTTTTCTTCTTCTTCTGCTTCTTCATCTTCATTTTACTATATATTTATTTTCCTACATTCTTATCCTTTTACATTTCTGCTATATTCTAGCAGCTTCTCCCTCCAGCTCCTATCTCTCTTGATCTCATGTCTCCCAATCACTCCAGCCCTAGCCCTGTGCTAGGGTCATAGAAATAGATAAAACAGTAAAACTTTTATCTGTAAGCCTTTCTGTATGGCTCAAGGTGGGAGTGGTTAAAGACTCCAAGAACTTCTTAAAGGGAAAGGATTTTATTAAGAGAAAATTATTAAGAAAATCTAAGAAGGGAGTATGTGTGCTTTTGCTATTTTCTTAAATGTGAGGAGATAATAAACAAAGGTAAAAATAAGTACAAAGACTTTAGGATTTGCTTTAAGGGTAATATGAAGTTAGCTTGGGACAGCATTTCCTATATATGGGCATAGTGAATCCAGGACACTCTTGTTCTTTATTTCTCTGAGAGCTATGGCTCAACAACCTTAGACACGTCATAACTCTTTTCCTGGGACATCTGTGACATCTGTCTCAATAGAGGCCTCGTTGCCTGGACACTAAGACTGACCAACAAGGAAAATAACTGCAGGGGGACAGACTTCTAAGTTTATACAAAGACTTGGTTGAGAGAGTAAGGGTATTGACTGTGATTACTTTTTTGCCAGAATCACACATTGCTGGGGGAGTCATCCAGTATACCAGTGCATAGAGGAAAATGTGCCCAGTAAATGATTAATACACTGTTGGCCTTTGGGGGGATAAATGCCATCATAGTAAATGGCCTCACAGGGAACATACAGTAAGGATGTGACTATTCATGAAGCAAATACTCCCACCGCCCTGCATGTGGACCTCCTTCATTGGATGATCCTGGTGGGTCAGTCTGTGATTTTTGTCAGCTGAGACTGCAGTATCTGCCCACTCCTGTCTTCACATTTTCTTCTCTGCATCATTCCATAGCAACGCACCATTCACCTTCTCTACCTCTCCCATTTCTCCATCACTTATTTCCTTAGAATAATGAGGCCCACTCGGCTGGTTTGTCCCCATCTGAGTGGAACGCTATTAGGCAGGCGTGGCTGTCTTCCCAGCAGCTGGGACCTTGAGGACTGTGGCTGGCTAGTCCCCGTCTGAATGGTATGACATCAGATAATAAAAAAGTTTATAGAATCTGTGGAAATAATCAGCAAGCCAAAGCTCAAACTCAATTAGACATATCCTTTACTATCTTCCTTTATTATGAGATAGGACACAAAAGTTCTCTGGTGGGCAGGGCAGAATAGACTTGTGCAGGAAAATCAAAGTCAAACTGTTTACTGGGGGCCAGGAAATAGAAATAAATATAAATAAAATTATAGACAGTGCACCAGGAGTAAAGACAAAACCACTTCCCAGTGATACTCAGTCACTGAAATGCCACTGAAAAGAAATTTCATTCAGAGGAGATGTGAAATATTCTGAGACACTTTACCATAGAAAACCCAATATGAACGTCAAGCAGATTTTGTTGTTTCCACCTGATTTATGTATGCAAAATGTATTCCCAAAATTCAGTTACAGAACATATTTTAACATAATGTTCTCATATAAATGAAAATCTAGTAGAACATTGAGCAACTTAATCCCTGCTAATCAAACTGTAAAACGCTACTGCATAGTGAATCCATTTAATAAAGTCTTTAACTAACAGACTGCTGGTAGTATTTACCAAGAACTATTCTAACTGCTGCACGATGGAAAAAGACTCAGTTCAACACTTAGATTTATATGGAAGTGAAACGCTAATGTAGAAACAAGTGCAATTACTTTTGCATAAGGACAATTGTGAATTTGACATGAGGGCATGTTGTTCCTTATATATTAAAAAAACAACTGAGAACATTTTTGAACTTATAGGGTATCTTCCAAAGGTGAATCCATGTTACCAACAAAACAAACAACCAAAGTGAGTTCAAAAGAAAAAGTCTTGATTGCATACATATTGACTTTGCTCATCCATACTACTTTTATTAGGCATTAATGCCAAGTAGCAATGTTTAAGATGATTAATTAATACAGCATCTCCACTGGAATCATAGACACTACTCTACGAGTGTAGTGTGATTGGATGCTGTCCACTACAACCACATTGACGATGTCATACAATGCAGGTGTATAACCAGGCAGAGTATGGAGAGAATCCAAATTAAAAAAGATGCTGGCTTCCACCACACCAGTTCTTCCCTGAACGCTGGTCACACAGACCTACGAAGGGAAAGGACGGCAATGAGTATGAGGAAGAGTAACTCACCACAGCTACCCTTAACAACCCCTTGTCTCTAATCATCAGGTCCCGAGCCCCATCACTGGTTCTCATCCTTGACACACAGGGAAGTGTGTGAACACATCTGAGCCAGCATGTCACCCTCTCCTACTAAAGCAGAGAAACAGGATGAGCCCTGCGTATCTGATGAGAGGATGTGCCCTTCATGCTACCCAATGTGGCCAAACACTCTACCTCCCTGACTACCTCTCATTCTCAGGCTGTAATAACCAGGGTCTTATTCCCCCCACCCCTTATCAGCAGGCTGAACACCTCAACCCAGGACACTCAAAGTTTCCCCACCATTGCCCCATAGCCAAGATACTTTGTAACTGCCATCCACAGAACATCCTAACGTCAAGTAGAGCACACAACCTAGGAATAAAGTATGTTTATAGTCTATATTATTTTCTGTTTAGTTCCTTTTCAATCACTGAATGTGTCCACATTGGCAGGGGACATACTGCCAAACATACCAAAGTCCTGGGCTAAAACAGTGATCAGGAAGGAAGGATAGGCAGCTGTGTACCCATGGCAAGGGCAACATGGAAGCATATTACCTCTTTGATATTCTGTATGTTCAGAGGACTTGCAGTGTGGATGTTCATGTCTGTACTGCCTATCTTCAAGGAATATTCAACCAGCAATAAGTCTCCTTTGAAAGGCTTAAATTCTAAAACAGCCAAGAAAATTAGCAGTGTAAATATCATTGCACTCAGGTCCTGTCACATTACCTAAGACCCTTCATCGCTGCAATATGCTGATCAACATATCCTGAATGTATATACTTAACAGATACCTCAAATATCTTCTTAACAGTAAGGAAACCTAAAGCACTTTATTTCAACACTGGTATACTGGTTCTTCTATAACCATTTATTCATCAGATATGTGTAACTAGCAACTGTGTGTCTCAGAGGGAACATTAAGGCTAGGAGCACATTATTTTCACATCAAGTGGATATTTTGATATCTCCTTCGGTGACAGCAGGCAGGTACACAGTAGGAGCACATGCTTGAACCTTGGCAGCTAGGCTAGAGACAAAAATGCAAGACCCTATCTGTTGAAAGTTCTGGAAAGAGGACACAGAAAGAGAGAGACCTATCTGCACCTTTGCTCTGAAGTGATGGAAGTATTTTCTTTTCTTTCTTTTTTTAACTTGTACATGAATGTTTTCATTTTTTATATATTTATATTTTATTTTACATGTTGATCCAAGTTCCCTCTCCCTCTTTCCCTCCCTCCCTCCCTCCCTCTCTTTTACCCTCTCTGACCCCTCACCACTCTCCCCTCCCATCCCCCCACCCTAATTCCATATGTAGGGCTATGCCATCCAGGTGGGGTCATGTAGATCTGACAGGTCCTGTGAAGTAGGGACTAGGGCTTCTCTCCTGTCTCTAGATTCAGGCAGTTATCCCTCCATGGGGGATGTATCCCCAAAGTCCTTTTGTGCACCAGGGATACATCCTGGCTCCACTGTCTGAGGTCCCTTAGACTGCTCAGTCCTTCTGGCTGAGACCCATATCCAGCGGGGCCTGAGTCAGTCCCATGCTGGCTTCCCAGCTATCAGTCTAGTGGCCGTTAACTCCTCCTTGTTCAGGTCAGCTGTCTGAATGTGTTTCTGCCGCCTGGTCTTGTCCTCTCCATCTGCATCTGGATTCTAGTTTGACTCAGTGTTTATGTATGGGTGTTTGCTCCTGTTTCCATCAGATATTAGATGAGGGCTCCATGGATAAGTTAGTTGTTGATCTCACTATCCAGGAAGGGCATTTATGGTAGTCTTTCCATGGTTGCTCAAATTGTTAGTTGGCAGCAGTCTTGTAGGTCTCTAGACCTTTCTTTAGGTTCAGTTTTCTCTTCAAACCAGTAATGGCCCCCTCTTTTATGTCCTCTCTCTCTCTCTCTCTCTCTCTCTCTCTCTCTCTCTCTCTCTCTCTCTCTCTCTCTCTCTCTCTCTCCTGTCTTCTATTCCTACCATGACTCAATCTTCCTGGTCGTACGTGATTTCCTCTCCTCCCCTTCTGTTTCTCCTACTTCTCTCTCCATTCGCTGCCCCCCCCCACTTCACCTGAGCTCTGGGGGACTTGTCCCTTCCCAGTTCTGTGAGGGACTTTATATGAATCTCTTAGAATACACCTTGTATCCTAGTTCCTCTGGTGGTGTGAATTATAGGCTGGTGATCCTTTGCTCTATGTCTAAAATCCATATATGAGCAAGTACATACCATGTTCCTTTTTGTGACTGGGTTACCTCATTCAGGATGGTTTCTTCAAGTTCCATCCACTTGCCTGCGAATTTCAAGATTTCATTATTTTTTCTGCAAAGTAGTATTCCATTGTGTAGATGTACCACATCTTCATTAACCGTTCTTCAGTTGAGGGGCATCTAGGTTGCTTCCAGTTTCTTGCTATTACAAATAGTGCTGCTATGAACATAGTTGAACAGATGTCTTTGTTGCATGGATGTGAATCCTTTGGGTATAGGCCTAAGAGGGGGATTGTTGGGTCCTGTGTTAGACTGATTCCCTTTTTCCTGAGGAACCTCCATACTGATCTCCAAAATGGCTGTATGAGTTTGCACTCCCACCAGCAGTGGAGGAGTGTTCCCCTTTCTCCACATCCTCTCCAACATGAGTCATCATTGGTGTTTCTAATTTTAGCCATTCTGGCAAAAGTTAAGATGGTACTGATTTACATTTCCCTGATAGCTAAGGATGTGGAGCACTTTCTTAAGTGTCTTTCAGCCTTTTTGATTTCCTCTATTGAGAATTCTTTCTTCAGTTCTATACCCCATTTTTTAATAGGGTTATTTGGTGTTTTAGTATCTAGTTTCTTGAGTTCTTTGTACATTTTGGAGATCAGCCCTTTGTCGGATATAGCATTGGTGAAAATCTTTTCCCAGTCTGTGGGCTGCCGTTTGGTCTTGTCCACTGTGTCCTTTACCTTTCAGAAGCTTCTAAGTTTGAATAGGTCCCATTTATTAATTGTCGATTTCAGTGTCTGTGTTCCTGGAGTTATGTTCAGGAAGTGGTCTCCTATACCAATTTGTTCAAGGGTACCTCCTACTTTCTCTTCTAAGAGGTTCAGTGTGGCTGGATTGATGTTGAGGTCTTTGATCCATTTGGACTTCAGTTTTGTGCATGGCGACAGACATCGGTCTATCTGCAGTCTTCTACACACCCTCATCCAATTGTGCCAGCACCATTTGTTGAAGATGCTGTCCTCGCCCCATTACATAATTTTATGTGTTTTGTCGAAAATTAGGTGTTCATACGTGTGTGGATTAATATCAGGGTTTTCGATTTGATTCCATTGGTCTACCTGTCTATTCTTGTGCCCAAACCAGGCTGTTTTCAGAACTACAGCTCTGTAGTAGAGCTTAAAGTCAGGAATGGTGATGCCTCCTGAAGTTCTTTTATTGTACATGGTTATTTTGGCTATCGTGGGCCTTTTGTTTTTCCATATAATGTTGATTATTATCCTTTCAAGGTCAGTGAAGATTTGTGTTGGATTTTAATGGGGATTGCAGTGAATCTGTTGTTTGCTTTTGGCAAGATTGCCATTTTTACTATGTTTATCCTACCTATCCAAGAGCATGGGAGATCTTTCCATTTTCTGGTATCTTCTTTAATTTCTCTCTTTAGAGCCACAAAGTTCTTATTATATAGGTCTTTCACTTGTTTGGTGTTACCCCAAGATATTTTATGTTGTTTGTGGCTATTGTAAAGGGTGATGTTTCTCTGATTTCTTTCTCTGTCTCTTTGTCGTCTGAAAAAATTAGGGCTACTGAATTTTTGAGTTTATCTTGTATCCTGCTAGTTTGCTGAAGGTGTTTATCAGCTGTAGGAGTTCCCTGGTAGAGTTTATTGGGTTGCTTATGTAAACTATCATACCATCTGCAAATAGAGACAGTTTCACTTCTTCCTTTCCAATTTGGATCCCCTTGATCTCCTTTTGTTGTCTTACAGCATTAGCTAGAACTTCTAGTATGATACTGAAGAGATATGGAGAGAGAGGGCAGCCTTGTCTTGTTCCTGATTTTAGAGGAATTGGCTTAAGTTTCTCTCCATTCAGTTTGATGTTGGCAGTTGGTTTGCTGTATATTGCTCTTATTATGTTTAGGTATGTTCCTGTTATCCCTGACCTCTCCAAGACCTTTATCATGAAAGGGTGTTGAATTTTGTTGAAGGCTTTTTCAGTATCTAGGGAGATGATTATGTGGTTTTTCTTTTTCAGTTTGTTTATATGGTGGATCACGTTGATAGATTTTCATGTTAAACCATCCTTGCATTCCAGGGATGAAGCCTACTTGGTCATGGTGGGTGATTTCTCTGAGGAAGCAGTGGCACAGTGTTGATGCCCCCGGCACTCAGAAGGGGAAGGGATGGCTTTCCTGAGTCATGAACAGGTCTCAGACTCATAGTGAGTTTCAGCTAACTTTGAGGAACCCTAAATGAAAAACACAGCAGCCAAAGAAATCAACTGAATAGTGAAAACCTCTTGGATAACTTATGACATGGGGTGGACAGGATTGCTAGGCAATATTTAAAGTTCTTTCCATTTTTCCTTTTATTATACCTTACTTTTAGTTTCAAGGACACTTCCCACATTCTTGATCTATGCTTTTAAATACTGAAATCTTACCTCCTGAAAACAGCTGGACAGGGAAAAAAGTTTCCCGGCTGATATAGATGTTGTCCTGTGTTACTGAGGTGACACACCTAATACAAAGTCTTCGGTTAATGTCTGATAGCTCAGTACCACCAACAGGGTTAGTCATGGCCTTCACCTGCAAGATAAGGACACAGTGGCTGAAGATGAAGTAAAACTCACAGGCAGAAGTTTGCACACTTACAAAGGATTACCTGTTGGAGTTTCTGTCCCTCCTGTTCCCACTGCAGTTTAGTCACAAATAAGCATACAGAGGCTTCTATTAATTATAAACTGTTTAGCAAGTGCCTAAGATTTCTTATTGGCTAGCTCTCTCTTAATTATCAATCAATTTCTATTAAACTATATATTGCCATGAGGCTATGGTTTACCCATAATGCACTGGCATGTTACTCCTACAGTGGCTACATGGTGTTACTCTGGTTACTCTCTGCATTACTCTTCCCAGCCTCTTTTTCACAGGAAAATGAAGAGAGATCAAAGAGGAGTAAGACACCACCATACCTTACCTCCTTAGTGCCTCAGCAGACAGGGGAATGAGTTCTGTTTATCTCTGCTTATATGCTGTTTCCACCCAGCTGTCACACTTCCTGTCTGTCTATACAGACCTCCAGAATTCTATGGTTAGCTAGTGGCAATCTTCCTTGTCTGACCTTCAGATAGGCTTTATTTGCACAAGCATGATACCACCACAATTCCCTATCAAAAGAATAGCATTTTAATGAGTTGACCTAACACAGATGTAAGGGTGCTTGCAGTAGTACATAGGGCTCCTTGTCTGAGACAATGGACTTTACTATTCCCACCAAAATAGCCCTCCTGTAGCAGGAATCTTTTAAACAACTGTTCTCAAAGCTAGACCATACATTTTCCATTGAAGACACATCATGGATTTGAGGTGATGGCGTCAATTGTGGCTGTACTTGCTCCATGGATTGGAAAATGCCTGCAAATGTGAATTTCACATTGTTGTTTAAAACTCTCACGAACTTAACCTTCTGATCTTAGAAGTACAGTGCTCTTGCTTTCCAAGAGTTCAAAAATCCAATAATGTAAAATATTTTTAAAATCTACTTCTAAAGAAGTTATAATCATGACCATAACACACATTAGGGAACAATTTTCCACATTTAGACAAAAAAAAATTTAGACTAAGTGGTGGGGTAATTTTAGGAAATGTGTTTTGTGATGTGTGCAAAGGAAGAGAAATGGGTTACTCTGGGAGATGGGAGTAGAGCAGAATGTATCGACAGGGACTAGAATGAGCAGCACAATTTTGGAGAACAAGGAAGGGGAGCATGTTATTTCCTGACTGGACCTGGGTTCAGAAGCAGGAGATAAAGGGTGAGAAATAACCTCCATCAGAAGAGATTGCAAAACAAGGAGGGCTGAGGCTCTGTTTACATAAATCTGGCTTTTTCAGGAGTATGACCTTACTGTAAGTAGTTTTCCTTTGAAATTTTCATTAATCAAACAATGCACATTCTCTATACAAATGTAGAATAATCACATGAGCACACAGCAGAAAACTATCTCCCACAACCATACTGAATAATTTCATTATCCAGAAAGACTGATTGGCTACTAGTTTGAAAATCAAAATTGAATATTGTGCATGCTGTTAAAATATCACATGAATATACACCAAAGGGTGGCGGAAAGGGCCATCTGGAATCACAATAATCGTTAGTGAGCTATATTTCTCATCATGTGACACTTGGAATGCACTCATTATGATAGTTACTGTTTTAAGAGCCCTGATGGAAACTGCAGTCACTGGTATCAAAGGCTACTGCATGTCATTCCAAAACCTAAATAATTGCTGTTGCCACCTTTACTGAGTGTATGACCTGCTATCAGAGCATATGGTATGGTTCTTTCTCCAGGATCCTTTGCATGGAGAAGTGAAGAACTTGTTTCCTGTCTGACGACTTGCTACCACTTCTGTCATTATGAAAGTGGATGAGCATCACAGACTCTGACCAACTTGTATTCTGACTGCATTAGCCCACAGACATACTGAAAAATTTCTGAGTTTTCCTGGAAAACATGCATTCTCCCAGTTCTCATTTTTTTAAAAACAGAAATACTACCAACAATCATCAATGAATACAAATAGATTATTAGACTTATAAAGAAAAATCCTAAGATACTCTTGGTCCTCGCAACCAAATGGAATCGAGTAGATTGTCCAATTCATGGTATAGGACCACCCAAAATCCAGTTATAAAGCAAGGTATGCATCCTTCTCTTAGCACTCTTATGTCAAATTCAGGATGACTAAATAGTTACATGTCAATATGTGCAAAGATGTCTGAAAGAAATACAAGTGAACCTAGTCAGTGTATGGGGCCTGGAATTCCAGCACTTAGGAGTCAGAGACTAGAAGAATGGCTGCAAGTTTGAGGGTTCATATTCAATATGAGGACATGTGATGCACAGAGGAAGAATGTCACCTGAAACTTGAATGGATAAATAAAACAGAAAATCATTTATCAGGGTAGTTCTTTGCTTAAAACAAGGCCTTATAGTGTATCCTTGGATGACATGAACATATGTAAACCACTCTATTCTTCAACTCACAAACTTTCCATCTGCCTCTGCCTCCTGAATATTAGAACAAACCAATTGAACTCACCCTATGTCTACATTAGTGTCTGCTTAATCCAAGGGAGAAATCAAAACTGCACCATAATAAGAGACGTTATGTAAAATCTGTCATACCTTGATTGCTTTCAGTACATGAGATGCTTCATCTTCTTCAACGAGAGCAATAACACTTCCTCCGATGTTCACAGGCACATTGTTACTGACCACTTCAGTATTGAAAACGATAGACTCATTAATCCAGCCATAGTCGGTACAGAGATGGGTCACAATTCCCTGGACAGACTTCAACTTGGAGTTATCTATGACACAGGGAAACAAAGGTCACACTGGTTCCTGTCAAAAGCAAAGAGTCACTGCACAGAAGTCCTACTCTGACCACCTGTGTAGATGTGAGCGCATATCATCACTTCTCTGACCAAAATAACTATTTCTGCACCCTAAGGTTGTAAGGATGTCTGCATGGCAGCTGTAGGAGACCTGTCCCAGTAAGAGTTCTAGGGCTGTGTTCATCTTACCTGCTCAGGAAGCCTCCTTAAGTCCCATTATTACTAGTGTATGCCTGCCTAGTCGTCAGTAGCAAACGCATAGCCGTGGTTCTACATTCGGACAGAGCGTTGAACGACATGTGCAGATGTAAGGGCATGTTTCCAAAATTGTCTTTTAGTCTCCATAAGCAGAAAGGGTAAGAAATGTTTTGGGATGTGGCTCCAGTATACTGCTGGGACAACCTGCCACCTTTCTCTATGGTACCCTCCCTTATGACTCACTCTGCCTCCTGGCTTCAGAAACATCGTGTGTGTGTGGGGGGGGGCAAGGCCAAATTCACTCTCCAATGGGATAGTCCCCTTTCTCTGGGGGACACACAAAGGTGTCTTACAAGCGGAAGGCAGAGACAGTTCAGCCCACAAAGACTTGTGTCACGTGTTCTTTGAGTTGGTCCAAAGCCCCTTCTGCTTCGATCCACCAAGGGAGCCTGAGGCACAGTTCAGTGCTGTGCTAACTCTTGGGACCTCAGGGACACTCTGATGCTCAGGATGGCGGCAGGCCCCTCTCCAGTATTCGTGCCCCACTACACCTCATGGTGGAGGATACCCTTTCTGAGGAGTCTCCTTGAGTGGGGGATAAGGGACCTACCAAGGTATACCAAGAGGCATACCTTGATGTTGTTCCTGCGGTGTTTCTTCAGACTCTGTCTTCCTGTGAAAGATCGCTGAAATCCGGCGTAGAAGATTCATCCTAGTGGTTTTACCCCCAGTCTGGGAAACGCCGAAGCGAGGCGTAGAGATGAATCAACAGGCCAGCTTTTCTGACTCTCAGGATGTGGTCCCGTTTATCTTCCCCAGCCTCTGTGAGATGGTAGTAAACAGCTAACCAGCGGCCCTCAGGAGAGCCAGGGACAGGGCACCTGGCTCGCTGTTGGCAGCTGCCCTTCTCTGCTCCCTCTCCTGGGAGAGCCCGCCTCTTTCCCCGGCCCAGCCAATCAGAGTCAATGGGGTGCCTACATCACTGCCGCAGCCAATAAGAGGCACTGGGCTGGACCATTTGGCCCCACCCACCCATTGTGAATGCACCAATAGGAAGGTCTCTGGAAAACCTGCTTGTAGGTGTGCCCTTGGTGTACTCAGTTTGGGTGTTAGGGGTCTCTTACCTGTTAGGGTCACAGGCTTGTCTTAAGAGGTATGACAGAATCCCTTGTCCCTTTATTGCCCCCCTTTCCCCAATCATGAGTGGTAATAAACGTAAGCATAAACCAGGAGGTTAGAGTAGCTGAAAGCACTTACTGCTCTTCATGAGGGCCCTGGTTTGGTTCCCAACATCCACACTCGTAACCATCTTAAGTTCCAGTTACATGGGTTCTGATGCTCTCTTCTATCCTCTCCCATACCAGGAATGCAAGTGGTGAACACATGTACAAGCAAAACATCCATATGTAGCTAGACTTGTACTTCATACCATCAATGCCACTAATGTTACACTCTGGAGACAGAGGTAAGTAGATCTCTATGAATTTGAGGCTATCCTGACCTATTTAGTGAGTTCCAGGCCAGTCACGGCTTCACAGTGAGACCTTGTCTCAAAAAAAAAAAAAAAAAAAAAAAAAAACCAAAAAAAACCCAAAAAACAAGATACCATTCATACACATAAAATAATTTTAAAAAGCTCTAGGTCCTGTCATTGTTAGAATCAGGGACGGACGGGGGGGGGGAGAGGGAGGGAGGGAGAGAAGAAGGAAGGGAGGGAGGGAAGTAGGGAGAGACAGAATGTTGAATGTTTCAGTCTAGCAATAAGACATTTTAGAAATACCATTCTCATTTTATAATAGACACTTTATAATTTGCAATAGAGTGTTTTGTGTTTTCTTTCAGTGTTAGAGTATGGATGCCAGAACTCACATAGATGGGTATACGTGTAAATTAGCCTGTACTTCCCATTCGGAAGCCCCATTTTGGGCTGTGTACCAGAGGTGGAACACATAGAACATACAGTCTGGAGAGTGTCACCTTCAGTTAGAACCTTGTCTACCCCTGTCTTTCTATAAACTAAAGGAAGACAAAAGTGGCTAAGAGGAGAGGCTCTGTTATCATCTGATTTCTAAGAGAATTAGTTGTGGGGCTAAATGAGAGTGCCAGAGACTTATTGAGGCTAAAAGATCAAGTTTTGTTATGAGACAAGTGTTTGGCTGGAATCTCCAGCTCACCCCTGCTTGATCCAGAAAGCCTCCTTTCTCTCGCCATATACCACCCTCTCTGAAAATCTCCATGATGAAAAAGTCACCAAGAAGTCCCGTGTTCTTGCTAGCTGCAGTGGCTCCTCCCCTGAAGTAACATACTCAGGCACAAACTCAGCCTATGGAGGACATATCATTGCCTCTCATCCATAAGATATCTAAGCTCCCTGTTTTAGTTTGGGCATGTGACTTCTCCTGCCTCTTTTCTTTCCTCAGTCCCTGGGGGTTGGAGAACTCCCTGGGAGTTGCTTTGCTTAAAATAAACCTGTTCTTTTACTTTCTCATTCCTGCTTGACCTGGCTTACTGCACTGGTGGAGAAAGCTATTGTCAAGGTACAGAAAACCATCAGCAAGAACTGCTGGCTGTCTCGGGAGGGGCACTTCAGATGGGAGTATGGGATTTTATAGAGTATTTTCAGTTCGGTAAAGTGTAGTGGGACAGCATTCAGATAAAAGGAACTGTCATATGGCAACAGGTCTACAGCAAGCACAATTTCCTGATGGGGAGGTGCTCCGGGCATCAGCACAGCCGGACAGTAGGTCAAGCTGTTCTACAGAGACAAGGAGTCAACAGGCTTCTGAGAAGTATATCGTGCTCACCTTCAATTTCCCCAATAGGGGCTGAATCCCACACAGATTAACTTGGATGTTGTACCCCTTGGACTCCAGTGTCCTGTCGGTTTCACACATAGTTCCGCCTCACTCATGGACAGAAAAAAGCCAACAAAATTATACCTCAAAACTTTATGACTTCTACCAGCATTTGGGAATGTGTTTATGGCAGCCACCATCTTGACCATGTGGCCTAGCCTCACCCCACATGGTTCTTCCCTCTGCTACAAGAGCCACCTAGGCAGAGGGGCAGTCTAGCTAGCATCTACTGCCGACAAAACCTGTAATTCATTTACTTTTTGCCTTTTATTCCTTGTATCTGATTCCTTTTTTTCACTGACTCTGTTGCACATATCTTGTTTGTGGAATTGTATGCCTCTCCAGGGCCTTGTAGGGCACACATTTCATGCAAAAATCTTGCAGTGGATCTCCTTTCTTGTTACTTTCAGGTTTAAGTCTACATTGTATCTTTAACTGCCCTGTCTGATTACTACAAGTCAGAGATCACACTCTGGTTTTTCTTATTTTTACCCAGTCCTGTTTGATATATCTGTACGTGTGATTTAAATTTAACTTTGTATGTATATGTAAGCTAACTATATAAAACTTAAATGCAACTGTGCTATCTCAAATATTACTAAATTGTTATGTGTCTTTAAAGGATGGTAAACATTTAAGGTTATAAAGGTCTATTTCAAATTAACAAAATATTTATGCTACGCAGTCCTTCCTACAAGCTGTTTACAAAGGTTAAGCTTCTATTACAAAACATTTTTTCTCTACCTCTTTGTCCTTTACAGGTGTAAATCTAACCTACTAAGTTAACACCAGTTATAGTCAGGCTGGAGGGCACTGAGTAAAACACCCCTCCACAGTCTCTTAGCTTGGATCCAGTTTTCCAGACAGATTAATTACAGGGATAAAGCCTTACCTAGCCACCTGTGTGCTTAAGGCACGTAACTAAAGACATATTTTTGTATACTAAGGTATGCTAGACAGTCAGACAGCCCTCAAATGCTCAGAGATCTAGAGAATATGGCATTTAAAATGTTTCATTAAAAAGCTTTTATAACAGAGAGACAGGCCAGCTGCTGGCACCACCCATTTCCTCCAAGAAGACTGATGGACACTGAAGAAGCTCCACCCACAAAAGTGGCAATGCTAGCCACTGAGCAATCCTGCCTTTCATCTCAACTGCTGCAAAGGACTCTAAGGACCATGGACAAGAGGGCAGTGGAATTGACTTTCTCCATGTTGCTTGGGCCAACGGTAGCTAAGTCTTCCAAATCTTCTAAACCACAGCAGAAGACGGGTGTCCTTAAAGCTTATGACCTCAACAACTGTGGAGGCCCGGGGGTGGCTGTCCATGCTGTCAGTTAGTAACTCTCTGTGACTCTCTAATCATTAATTCAGGTAAAATTTTATCCTTCTCAAGAACTCTGATGCTTTTGACGACTGGTAGCTTTGTCAGATTAAAGCATCAGCCAAGGCTCCTACTGTTACAAACAGATTTCAGAAATGGATATTTTAAGGTTGCCTGGTCTCAAAAAGATGCCAGAATTCCATACTGTCAGGACTGCAATGAAACAACCAGCTACCAGGACATGGCAACACCACAGCTTTCTCAGGTCCCCCAAAGACGATCAATGTCCCCAGGTCAGCAGGAAGCAGTCTTGAGAACTCAACATCTTTATTCCCTAACCTGCCACGCCTAACTCCTCACCTTTTTAATAAGTAAAGATGGGAATGTAATGATTCAGGCACTACACTGGCCTGCCCCTGTCACCTGGCAGAATGCACTCAGGCAGTACTCTGGTCAGCCCAGGGTTCCATGAGATTACCTCTCTCTCTCCCCCACCTCCTGCCTTTGGTTGGCCACCAGCTACCCCTCCCTTCTCTCTCCCCCCTCTCTCTCCCGCTCTCCTCTCTTCTGTTCCCGATGCCTCTATGTCTCTTCCCTTCTCCCTCACTCCCCTTTGTAAATAAACTCCTCATTTAAGCTCTATCTGCCTGGCGTGTTAGTCCCTCCCGCCCGGGTCCCTATCTGCCTGGTTATGGAGCCTGCTTTGTTCTCCCACGTGGTCCCTTACCTTGGGACCCCACTGCCCTCAGACCCTCACCTGGGACCACTGACCCCCACCCCCTTCTCCAGCTTTTATTCTCATCACTGTAACGAAAGAATAACCATCACCATCACCTTTCCTCCTCAAGAAACTAAAATATCCTTTTCACCTACGTACCAACTCAGCTAAACTTCTCTCTCTCTCTCTCTCTCTCTCTCTCTCTCTCTCTCTCTCTCTCTCTCTCTGAAGAATATTTCCTAACTCTTCTGGACTCCAAAGTAATAATTAATCATGGTCCAGTACTTGCAACAACAGTGTGGTATGGCTGGAGACAAATCATCCTTGTTTGAAGGTGCACCACCCATCAGTTGTGGTGAGTCTCTTGACTACAGACACACCTATAAGGGTCCATCAATATCCCATGAACCAAAAGGCAAGACTTGGACTTGCTCCCTTTATCAAAAGGCTGTTAGACACTAACATCCTTACTCCACTCAGTTTGGAATGTGCCTGTCCTTCCTGTCCATAAACCAGGAACTTTAAATTATTAGACAGTTCAAGATCTCTGGGAGGTAAATAAATGGACTAAAATCATTCATTCTAATGCTTGAAATCCTTACACTTTTTTCGGTCCCCTGCTGCCAGACCACCAGGTCTTTAAAAACCCATTAAGTCCAGTTACCAATGAATACAGCTCTGCCCCAGTGTCTACTTGAAACTTAACTGGGTAACCTACTAGTGTTGCAGTAACCAAGGGCTCTTGGAAGCTCAAGAGGGTAGAGCCCTGGTCCCTTCAACCTGATTCACTATCCATCTCAATTGTGTTTTGGAGGACCATTGATTCCTGGACAACTTGATTAC